AAAATAATTAATTACCTCATTATTCTATCACCTATCGCTGTTCCTCTGATATTATATCTAGTAAAGGGAACAACAACTGAAGTCATTAAAAAATGCTGGGTATCATGTTTTTAAAAGGTTAGCATCTATTACAAAATGTGCTCTACATATTTCAACTGAGAAGACACCTTCTCCTCAATGTGTTAGTATATGAGACTACTTTGATTTCAACAAAAATAGTATTCAGATTACATAACAGTACACAAAGTTGATCTTATAAAATGCAGTAATTCTTCATAGATTATAGCAGAAGTAGAAGCAGCTGCATAATAATTTCCATTTTACATTCATATTTGTTTGACATTTTAACCTACTAGTTTAACATTTTCCAGGCTTAGCCTCTGCTCATAGATCAGCTTCTGTCAAAGTCCAAACAAAATTAATTCAGTCATTTAAGTAGGAAAGCAGCCCTCAGAGAGCTGTTTTGACTAATTTGTGAAAATTAAGATCAATCCATTAAAAACTGCACTCTCTGTGCATGAAGAACATACATTTTGCACAATTTTTTTTTTCCCCGCCACAGATTACAAAATATGGTGCTAAGGCAAGCCATATTATCTATTTCTGTTCCAACTAAATTTGCTGGACTTAGTAAGTTTTAAAGAAGATACGCTATGTGCATACTTCGAGACTTAAAAACCTGCATATCTCCTCATATTTGTAAGAGAAGGGATCTTTTCCTGTGGATTCCCTAAAATGCCCAGAAGGTTATTTTCTCTGTTGAGTATCTAGCTAAACTGCTCTGCTGTACAAAACAGGTTTCTTTTTTTTTTTTAATTTAGAAATATTCCGTGTGGTTTCTTATACATTTTGTTAAAAAGAGCATGTATTGACTAGCCCAATGACAATAAAAAAATTAAATAACTATATAGCTTCTTTTAGTCACTGATCTTCACCATTTCTATAGTCATGCTCAGTGGCTACAGAAATGCCACAGAAAAAAGTCAGATGTCACATTCTTAATTATTTCGTTCAAAGAAATGTCCTTCTGTGTCAAAACTATTCCTAGGTGGTTCCTAGTCAACATTCAGCTGACAGCCAATTTATCAGCCAAAGGGTGTGTATTTCTACACATTTTGCTGCTACTATTCCAAGTCCTTTTCAAAATATTAAAGCAGGTACAACCTTTGTATTTCCATATCTGTTGCATAGTCCTTCCTGACAGTTTAATTTCAGGTTAATTGGTGAGAAACTATCTATCCTCATTGTGCTTTGAGATTTATAGGCATCCATAAAGAGATCATGTCCCTCGTAGCTATTCTTAGATTATGTAAGAGAGAGAAAAAGACCCAATCCTCAGTTTGAAAACATTAAAAGTTGGATTTGTACCCAAACAAAATTCAAACAATGGAAGCTCTGTAAACATTAGATTTGCAAAATGGACAACATTCTGTTCATAAATCTGAAATCTACATCCATCTTACTAAAAGAGTTGATGCAGCAGGAAGGTCTCCATTTATTTAACTAGAGGTACTGTCAACAGAGCTATCAAAAGGGTATTTCTGCCACTTCTTTTCATTAAGAGGAAGTTTAAGATCATGATTTCAGAGTACAGAATCAGAAGTCTACCCTTCCTTCCTTGGTGGAGAACGTTGTACTTTACAGTGGGAAAATGACTCTGAGACAATTTATCTTCATTTCCCCAACTATGGAGTTTCTCCTCAATATAAACAATAGCTACTTATTAAGGTATACAAAAAACACAATCTAAAGAAGCCTAAAATTGGTTGTGGATCGAACTAGTAATGCTATATACTCAAAAAGGCTTATTATTCAAACAGCTTTTAGCATTCTGTTTCAGAAGGCTACAGCCTCCTTTTTATTTTTTGTCCTAGAGAAAACTTAGAATTAAACATTTTTTTGCCTCTGCATAACATAGGTTCACAAAAGGTAGATTATTGCAGGCTAGCCATATAACCTTCTCCAGAAAGAAAAAAAAACAAAAAAAAACCCCAAAACCACACAACCAAAAAACCACAAACATAAAAGCCCCAAAGCAAGTCCCCCCTAGATATTCTAGAGAGAAAAAAATCTACTTTATTATTTCTATATTAATGCCATTGATTATAAGATGACACACTGGATACTAAATTATTGGATAAACTTGAGAAAATGAGATTTAGTACAGGAATTGTTGGGTAACACAATTTACTAAGTGAAAAAAGAGAAAATGTAAGCCTATAGGAAGCACACTGGTGGAGCTAAGCACCAGTCTTGCAGGCAATTGTATTTAATATATTGCTAATCGTCTTTCAACAAAATGTAGGAATGTATTCATGCAGTGCATTGAGGACACGAGGTTGGGTAACTTTATGAATATAGAGGGGACTGTAGGACCTTGAGAAAAAAAGGTGGGTAGAAATTCAGTAGTATAAAATTCACAGTCATACACTTCTGAGCTTCCTTCTGGTGAAAGATAAGAACACATTAATTAGAAATAACAAAGTAGGAAAGACTTCAGTATACTAACTGATCTTGTGTCTGACCACAAGCCACCACTAGGAGACAGCCACAAGCAAGAGAGGAGAAGGATATAACTACAGCCCATTTGTGTCTCAGAGAATCTTCTCTAGACCAAGAATAATACTTATACCATTAAGTCCTAGCAAAATCCAAACAGTGCAGTGTGCGTAATTCTGGTCTACCACATTCAAGAAATAAGTGGAATATGGAGGAGCCCAGACAGGAACCAGCATGATGGCAGGAAAACCACAAGTTTTTATTGCTAAGAGTGAGGAAAAACTTGGCACTCTTAGTCTAGCGAGACAAAAGTTGAAAATGGACAGGATGAACATCATTCAAATGATAAGCAGTGGACGAAAAAAATTATTTAAATCAAAACAGTATGTTAGCACAAAACAAAATGACTAATTTTAGTCAATTTATACCCATTATAGGAGCAATGTTTTGAGGAAGCTTCCCACTAGTTAAGGGGCCAGGAGCATTTTATATGAATTTAATCTGTTTATGAGAGGGATTATATGCTATAACAACTGTCATAGTAGTAGTAGCAAGGACTTCCAAGTCCCTTTCACTCTATTTCATATGAGAGATAAATACTAAGAAAGCTTATAGCTAGCCTTTAAGACCACCAGTGCCTGCTTTCTCTCTGGAAATCCAAATTCCTTTGAGCATGCATAGGATGTCTTATTTTTCTTCAGTACCTCAGAGGGCATTTAGAAACTCCTGAAACCAGAAGAATAGGGGGGAACGTAATGTAAACATACATCTGACTGTTCAGAAGTTAAACTAGAAAACTTCACTGCTTGTGCACACACAAAAGCAGAACAAAATGAATTGGTCAGGCATTAAACCTGAGTAATGAAAGCCTGGACGCAATCCTAAACAAGTACTGACTACACAGCAACTTTTGTCAGATTTTATTTGGGGGAAGAATAAGGGAGCAGGGGGCTGCATAAAGAATTTTAATTATATCATTAATTTAGTTGAATGATCTTTCCTATATGATAAATTTAAACTGCTACAGGAAGAAATCTCGCTGCACACGAAGGAGGAAAAAAAAGCATGCCAGATGAAGTGTAACTTCATTTAAGATGTCCTCACTAGTGGGAAATTGTAACAGCTATACGATACCTGGAAGTATCATTCTTATTATATTACTACAAGAACTACTACATCATAGAGACAACAGGTGCATGAAGAGAAGCTAAGAATCCTGCTTGAAAACAGAACTGGGGTTAAAATTGCAGGGCTTTTCACAGCTTGCTCTTCAATCACTAGATAGTAATGAACATTGGCTGTGCAGTGGAAATTATTTATGCCATTAGATATTTATCTACAATTACTTACTATTGCATGGAGAGTTAATGGATTAAGACAGAATCTGTATATATTGGTTTTTTTTCATAAAAACTGTCATTTAGTGAGCAGAATTACTCGTGCTATGTAATAAGTAACCACTGTTCTTTTTGTCACTACTGACAATGTGGTGGCATGACTTTTTAACTGCAAATTATTCAAAACCTTTTCTATACACAACTATTAAATTCTTTCTGATTTCCAAATGAATACATATTGTAATGCTTCCTGTAAAGAATTTGCATTGCTAGCATAAGAAATTAATAGCAAGATAATGTTGCCTTTGAACAGGATAGGAGTAAACCTAAGGCACCCAACACTAGATCACATAATATCCAAAACAAATAAAAAAAGCTATTTTCTTATGTCTAACAATAGAAATGCTGCTTAAATAATTATTACAGCTTTTTAAAAGTCCAAGAATTGAAATTAGTTAGCAAAGGTATTAAACCAGCAATACAAAAGCGGGGGCTAAGTTTACTGAATGATCAAACAAGTATGTACAGCTGCTTATATTTTACAAGAAAAAAAATACACAAAGCTTACTAAACATGTCTTTCATTAATGATGACAACTAGTAATCTATCTTTTTTTTTTTACTGCCATACATACTGATATTCAATAATCAACAAAAGAGAAAGGATTAGAGTTTCTCCTTCAGAGAAAAAGAAGAATGAAAAATTGAACACATCTGTCTTAATCTATGTACTACAGACAAACACAGCATTGCTGAGCAACAGTTAAAAGCTCTTGCTTTGCCAAAGCAAGAACACCTAAAGTACAGTTGAAAGAAAATGTAGGTCCCTGTACAAAAATTTATGAACTTTCTATACTTATGACTACAGGTAGAATAATAAAAAATGAACTGCAAATATTTAGCACTGGGGTATTCAACAGGCAAGAAATAAGTACAAGCAGGTATTAGATTTGTAGGAGCTTGCCTGGCTAGGAGGGAAAATATAGCTATACTAATCTTACATATAGGCAAATTAGACTCAACTATCAAGCTCTTCGCTAGTTGTAAGAGAACTATTTATTTCAATTAAGGATATGAGGCATGGGTTTCTAGATTTTCCATTTAAAAAAAAAAAAAAAAAAAAGGCATTTTGCAAAGCAATAGCAGAGATAAGTATTCCCCTAACCTGTGTCCTGGTCCTCCTCGATACCTTGCCCCTGGGATCAGAACAGGATCATCATCACTATCATCAGTTTCTTGGAGAGCTGAGGTCCTGGTAGAGGACTCATCTGGAGTTGCAAGCCCTGAGGATTCTGGGTGTGGCTGAGGTTCATTGTTTGCAGCAAGAGAATTGGCAGTGAATTCAGCACTTTGACTTGAAATTTCTTGATTAGCACTTTTTTCACAGGAGGCTTCTTCCTCTGCATTTCCAGACACAGCGTCAACATTGTGACCATTTTCTTCTGGTTGGATTCCAGAATGATCAGGACTGGGTTTATCTGATACAGCTAACAGAAAATATTGGGGAAAATAAGTCACAGCATTTAATGATTATAGCCTATTTTAGAAGGCATTCTAAATGGTCATAGAAGTTAAATTATGCATAGTGAGTTTATATTGGAAGTTTAGTTTTTCATTCTCTACTTCTTCATATAACTATATTTGAAAGAGTACAGATACATACTTGCTTCTGTCGTCTCTACTGTCTCATCTGTAGTTTTCAGTTCTTCAGCACTTGCATCTTCCTTGTGAGATTCATCAGGAACTCCGAAATTAAACAATTTAATATTAAATCACATGATTTCATTTAGATGCACATCTATAATGTAAGCAAATCTAAATGATACTAGCACTCCTAGATGAAACCAAAGCAATTCCCACCAAAGTCCACATGTCACTTTACTGAAATCTCAGATACTTAATCACATTAAAGTCAGTATACATAAACCTCTCTAGTTGCCCAGGTCAATACACTAACAAGGAAAAAAGTATTTCTTTCTTGTTCCTCAATATACTAATATCCTATGCTATGAGAACTTTAGCTGCAAAAATAGCATTAGTACTCTTGAAACAGATGATCACGTACTGAAAGTTATTATTTTTGAAGGGAGAAATAATTTTTTAAATCCTTTATTAAAAAAATTATAAAAACATTGCTCTGAAATCAGTCATTTGACTTGACTGCCCTTTTGGCAATGAATTGAGCAAGACAACCACATGCAACAAAATACAGTGAAAGCTTGAAAGAAATATAACAAAATACCTAACGCTCATTTATGACTGCAAAGCGCAGTTGTTCTATTTTTTGATACAAATTGGGGCAGAACTTGTCCTTAAGAAAAATGAATAAGGGTTTTAGAACTAAAGACAGGATAAGTTAAATTTGTTTATATTTATTTGCAACTATCTCAGGTTGGTTATCTTTTTCTTTCCTAAAAAAATTCATGTTCTATTATGGCTGTATTCTGCCTTCATATGCGTGTGTATGAGACTCCCATTGTTTTCAATGGTAGTCATGAACATATAAGAGCAGAATTTTTACCTTAACATTACAGAAATAACACTGTATCTTACTTGTTTCTTCATCTTCAGGCCCTGACTCTTCTGAGGCTTTTGTTTTTACAGAGTCTTCTTGGCCTTCAGTTTTGCAATGACTTCCACTCCCTCTAGAGCTTGAAGTTGTGCTGCTCCTGGCAACATAACATGTAAAAAAAAAAAATTAGAAATAATGTAAATAGATCATTGCAATAGCACAGCCTGACCATCATCATCTTTCTCACTGCAATCTCACAATTCAATAGCTCCTGGCAGCAGCTACAACTAACAACCTTCACAGCAATTTCAAAATTCTCTTTTATTATGTCAATCGCCACTCATCCCACACTATTCCCCTGCATCACAGAACCCTGTTGTCTCCTTCCTATCTTTTTTTTTTAACCTTTAAAGGATTTCTTCATTGCTTTTCAAAATACTGTGAGAACTCAAAAGGATTTGCTCTCTTTCACTATTTATACTTTTTTTTTTACATGTATAAATGATCAGAGATCTTAAAGGTATTACAAGCTGTCAGCTGAACACTAATACATAATCTTATCCCATCCAATTAAAAAAGTGATTCAGATAAAATTCTCCAGGTTCTTCACCATTAACTATCATTCCTGTATCACTTGAGGCATGGACGTCTGATGTCGGCTTTCAGTCCTCAAAGTTTTGTTATTTCTCAAGAGTCACTATAAGCTGGTACTTGAGATTTACTCCCCATTCGTGTTTAGATAATTATTGTGGAACACCAATTTCTGTTTACAATAAGGAAAATTATTCCTCAGGAAATATGTAATACTGCTGTTCTGAATATCATCAAAACTAATGTTTTTAGACTCTCTAGAAAAGACCTTATTTTAGGAAATGCAAAGCCTTGTTCCTGAGCTCTCCCATTCTGTCCTGTCCCACATCTGTGTTGAGGCCTCAAACTTAGGCAAACCACTGGACAAAAGTGGAAACAAAAGATAAGTTATGGGAATTATAAGCATGATTCTCAAGAATTTAGACTGTATTGTTACAAGTATCTTCTTACCTGTGTATGTTACTACTAAACTATTTTATATGCTACATTGCTAGAAGCAGCACAAATCATGCTTAGCCTAGATTCTTGAGAATCTAGTCTAGACTTCAGTACTTTTTTACATTAAATATGAGAGCTTTCACTCATCTTGATGAGCAATAGTCTGTCTCATTGCTGTACTGGATTTGGAGTATGTAGAAAATTTTTGTTAGCCCTTACAGTATTTCTTCTAAATCAAGAATTTTCAGCATTGTTTCTGAATGGACAGACAAGAAGGGTACTGCTAGACACCAAGTCAAGGGGTTTTGCTATTTCATGCCTCGTATGATATTATCACTTTTATGAACTTAATCACAGTCTAAGCACTAAGATTTTTTTTTTTTGACCCTTAGGAATCTACTTTCTAGCTCAACGCTCAATGCTAATTTACATCCATGTATTACTCTGCTTTAACTTTTACTTCATCGTTATTTTTCACATCAGCAGTTACATGAAGAGGATGTTTTTGAGAGAGCAAAATAACACCTTGTGCTTTTGTTACATTAAGCCCTGCTGTCTGCTTCCATAGCAGGTTTTCTGTTTCCCCAGTTCTCCATATAACCCTTCTTTAAACCTCTGCCAATTGTTTAATAAAATTTGGTTTCTGTGATACAGTGGTAGTATTATTTTATTATTACACTAAAAAACCCCACTAGAATAAACGGACAAAACATTTGTTAATGCTCTGTTCCTCTTGTGAAATTTGCCCTTCCTAAAATATTAAACAAAGATGACTACAAAACTAAATGCAGAATTAGTTAAAAGCATTACAGCAAAACTAATTCTTTCAAAGCTTGCTGGATTTGGACTCTAAATAGAAGTATAGTCTGATAGATGGGTTGAACATAACTGTCACAGTATTTCAGATTCACATGGGCAAAAATCTTCATTCTTGTGAAAACACACAGATCACTGCTTAAAGTTTCCAAACTGCTATGGGCAAGGTGTATGTTTTAGGTCTAAAGCCACAGCACTTCAGAATAGCTAAATGTGGTCTTTGGGGTTTTTTTCCCCTAGTAACAAATGCCATCAAGCATTTCTACTTCCTGTCTTCTACAGTAATATTGAAAACATAAGCAAAGGAATAGAAGTAAGAGGTGATAAAACAAGGGTTGTGGTTGTTTTGGGAGATCCTGAGGTGCTCTAGTGATAGACTTGGATACAAAACCAAGTAAGTCAGGCCAGTTAAACAGTATGCGTTTATTATCTGAAAAGGATGCCATCACTGTAATACCTAAGCAGTCCACAAAGCTGGTATCTTAACCATATGCATTCATCAACACCTCTCAGACACAGAAATACTGTTACACAACTTGGAAACTGTGCCACAGAAAGACTAATTTGCAGAATACCATATGGAGAAGTCTGGCACAGCAGAGAATTAAAACTGAAGCACCAGCCCCTGGACCACCTTTCCATCACTGTACTATCTTGCTTTAGTAAGATAGTGAACACTAATATTATGCTAGGGTTTGATGAAGATAGCATGTTTCAAATTATGTTAGCATTGAAAAGATTCACAGTAAACATCACAAAAAACACCTTTTGCATAAGTGTCATGCTAAAGTATAAACTGTCTTTTATGTTCTGAATGCATTAAGGACTACAGACCTTTCAAATTGTCTATATGCACCTAAAAATATACATATACCATACAGAAAAATAATTTTTCTGTATCTATGCTAGATGACTGTTAGTGATGTGGGCTGATCAATAACCAGTCAAAACCAAAATTAACTTCTTACCACTCATCAGTGAAGTCCAGTTTTATCGTGCTTGTAGTCGTTCCTTCTGTACTGTAGTGCAAACTTAAAACTGGTTCACCTGTTCCTGTTCGTGGCTTATCACTCTCTGTAAATATGGGGTTGATAAAGTTTGGATGGGCATCAGTAATATACAAAAAGCTGTTATAATTCTGAAGATTCATTTAATTATCCTAACAAAGGCCAAATGTGGTAGTAACATGTACAATGTCTATTTAAGATCTCTTAGAATACAAGCAAAAAGTTAAAAAGTTTCAGAGTAAACACACCAAATTTTCAATACTTTAAAAATGGCCTAAAATTATTTGTATTTTTAAGAGCAAACAAAGAAGATGCTGTCCTTCAACATGCAGGTAAATAAAATTGCAGATAGGTATCTGTACACACAGTATTATCCTTTATAAGCAGCTCCCTTTTCTATCAAGTAAATTAATAATTAGAATATAAAATGTTTTTGGAAGTGGTGTTCACTCTTTTTTGCCTCAGTAAATACACATGAAAAAAGATGATGAGATCTAGACACAATCAGTGGTCTAGAAAAATCACCATCCCCTTTACTTTTTTTTTCTACTTAGAACCCAGTCAACTACCAATATCCTTAGACTAGCTGTAAATTGTCAGCTAGTTGTCATAAAAACACTGTAAATTCATGTTCTGAGAGCTTTGGGTTTAAAAAAAGCCTTTCATATTATAACAACTGCAAGCAGAAGGAAAGTACTTGCAAAATGAACTATTCACAATGTCCAAAAGCAACAGAAGTGAAACAAATTGAAACCCACGGCAAGTCTGCCAAATATCTGCTGCATATATAATTTTAAGGATGTTCAGTGGGCTCCTTCAAAACAGAACTGCTCAATGACATCCACCTACCCACCACCCTTGAGCAAAATTAAGGCAAAATTGCCATTAATACCAAAGTTGGCCTTGGGCAACACTAAAAAGTTAATGGAAAGTACCATCAGATTAAGCTTCACTAAAGGTGCCATTCTCTCAGAACTCAGATGGGAGAGTTTACTTAGTATTAAGCACTCAAATGACCAGTAAGTAGCCTATGTACTATTGCTTTTCATGAATACTGAGCTTTTTAACTCAGGACTGTTTGGACAAAACCATGCCATATTTTCTTTGGTTTATAGACTACAGCAATTTGACTATAAGTATACTTGCATTATTGGCAGCAGACTGACATTTATAATAAAGTAAAATCTTCAGATCATCTTTGGGTAAACATCAATTAAAATCTAACGTTTGATTCAAGCACAAACCTACAAATTCCCCCACTATAAAGGCTATTATTAAAACAGTAATGGCTACAATACTGCCACAGGATATTTATTTTAAAAAATACAATTAAGTTATAGGAACTATGAAATAGCACATCAGAATTTAACCTAATGATCAGTGCTCATATTTTTAAACTGCTGACAGACAGAAGCCCACTCACAGGATCAGGGCAGTGATCAGCTGCCCCAAAGAACTATAAATACGTATTTCTACATATTCTGAGGAGAAATTAAAACAAACAAAAAAAACCCCCAACAAACCAAAACACAAAAACCCTGTAAGAAAAGTTAACATATGTTTATGTGAAAGAGAATTAACCAATTACAACTATGATCCTAATTATACATAAGGCATGGGCTTCATTCTATGCAAAGAAAAGCTCTTAGCCTCTCTAAAATAAAGGTTCCAGTTACACTTTTATTAGAGTTGAGCAAGGATAAAACTGATCAAAAGCAAGGTTTCCAGTTCCTGAAATAAACTAAGGAAAGAAACAAATGTAAGAAAATGTTTTATAGTGGCATATATAGATATTTTGAACAAAAATGACACGTTCTTTTAGTTAAACAGGTGCTTTCTCTATTTTTTGGCAACCTATGAGCACGCATCTCTTAGTATAAAGGTATGTTCAAACTTTGAGCATCCCTTCCTAAGCAAGTATAAATACTGATCGTTCCAACATACTGCACAAGTCATCAGGAGCTGGACACTGAAAGAATAAAAAATGACATAGTTGCAGAATTTTTTACTTCCCTTGTAACAGGTACAGAGAAGACATTATCTTTGAATCGGGAACCCAGATAGGTAAAGAAAGACAACCTACTGCCTTGAATATTCCAAGACAGCCACAAAACAATGACTATACTCTAACTTGATACTGCTATACAACATTTGCTTCAGCACAAAACTAATTAACATTACTGACCAAAGTAAACAAACCTAATTTAATATTAGGCTTGTGTTATAAAGCTCTGATCACATTATCATAACAGTGCTTTCCTGTCTTAAAATCTCAACATCAAAAAAATTAACCAAGATGCATAAAGACTGTCCTCTGACTACACTTACTGTGGAAGCAATGCTCATATTTATTCACACTCAAAAAGTTGAAAGAATTGCTATAAATGTATCCAAAGAGGGCACTGACTGTGAAATTATTTTTACAGATTTCTGGAGACAGATAGCTGTTAAACAATATTGTGCAATAGCTTTTCCTTAAATCTACAATAACATGAGATACAATTTGGATTCAGTCAGTTTCTTCTTTAAACTAGCTCTAGGGCATGAAATCGACACTAGTAAGAACAAGAAACTTTTTAGAAGACAGATGACACAAGACTGCACAGAATTAGTTGTGTAGTTCACTATTTTATATTAAACTTACACTGCTAATGAAAGCTGAATGGGAGCCTCTGTGAAGAAAGCTAATAAGCTTTGCCTAGTACATAACTGAACATTCTTTTAGAGAATCCACATAAAATCCAGAAGTCATGAACTCTTTGTTTTCAAGAACAATGTGATTGCCAAAGACTGACTAGATCAGAACGAAGCACTGTTCTCTTTCACTACTAGGTTCATCCTATCAGGCCAGATCTACTTCACATTGCTAAAAAAATGAAAGGAAGAGGAAAAGTCATACAGCTTCTGTGATTTAGGAGAGCACTATTGCCAAAACTATTAATCTGATTGCAAGCTCTAGCAGGGTAGTAATTTCTCCAAGAGGAAGTTGTAGCTTGTCAACACCTTACTAAACTCTATTCCAAATTCTTCAAAAGTACCTTGAAACTTTACTTAGATTTTACAGCCAAACACATTATACTTTAAAGATACTACTGACAACTTACAGTCATAAGCAACCCTGCCCTAGAAAAGACACTCCCATGAAATGGTCCATTCTCCAGGTGCCTAAAGGAGGAAGGTACTTTTAAACTACCACCATTAGAACTGAAGACAAAATTCATAACCTTATTTTTTAAAAAACCAAACCCCACAACTGAAAGCAGTACCCCTCATACACACTGTTTCCATTAGAAAATGAAACTATGCAAGTGTAACATCACAAAGATTGGGTCTCAACTATGAAGTGGTAAGTGCATAAAGACAGGTTTACAGATTGCATTACCTAGTTAAACTAACATTGTAAGGAACTTCAAGCTAGTTTCCCACATCTCAAATGCTGCCCTATTCACTAGTCTATTGGCAACCCCACAAGAAGAGGATAGGTGACTTTCATGAAAAACTTCCAAAATAATTCCTATCCAGCACTAATCAAGATCTCCTCATGAGAAAATCAGCTTTATACATTCTGAAGATAGGGTTATATTCTGGGTGAAAACCAAAGACAGTTACTTCTGAAGGGAGAAAAATCGATCCAAAGAGGAGAAAATAAGTGGTGTATTTCAGAAAATAGGAATTCCATGGGAAGGCTTAACGCATGAACATTTATCAGAAGCAGCTGAACTCAGAGGGAAGGGTGGAGATTCCTTTATCTAGTGAGGAATACCGACTGAACAATGTTACACTGATACCAGTCAGTATAAGGCACAATAACATCTAAGGGAAGACCGAAAATCAAATAATTCTTTGGACCAGCCTAATCTATAGCCCAAGGCATACAATTTCTTTGCCTAGATGATTCCTATGTGAATTAGATGTAGTACTGCACTTTACCGAAGGAGGCAGTACAGACAGCACTGTGCCTTACAACAAGGAAGCACAGGTCTGAAATTCTCGAGCTTGGACCTGGAGAGCTCACTATAGTCTGGAAAGTCTATGCGCATACCAACACTCAACCAGTTCATCTGACTGGGAGGCAGAGCTAATAGTTGGGACACAACACATGCCAGTACAGTTTCAAGGACTTACAGTACTGTTTATGAGCAAGTAACTGCCATAGCTGCCATACCAGCTTGTTTTGAGCCAGTTTGTCCTGGTTTCAGCTGGGATAGAGTTGATTTTCGTCCTAGTAGCTGGTATAGTGCTATGTCTTGGGTTCAGTATGAGAAGAATGTTGATAACACACTGATGTTTTCAGTTGTTGCTGAGCAGTGTTCATACCAAGTCAAGGATTGTTCAGCTTCTCATGCCCAGCCAGCAAGAAGACTGGAGGGGCACAAGAAGTTGGGAGGGGACGCAGCCAGGACAGCTGACCCAAACTGGCCAAAGGGGTATTCCAGACCATGTGATGTCATGCCCAGTATATAAACTGGCAGGAGTTGGCCTGGGGGGATCGCTGCTTGGGAACTAACTGGGCATCAGTCAGTGAGTAGTGAGCAATTACACTGTGCATCACTTGTTTTGTATATTCCAATTCTTTTATTATTATTACTGTAATTTTATTATTGTTATTGTTATCATTATTAGTTTCTTCCTTTCTGTTCTATTAAACTGTTCTTATCTCAACCCACAAGTTTTACTGTTTTCCTTCCGATTCTCTCCCCCATCCCACTGGGTGGGGGGAGCCAGTGAGAGGCTGTGTGGTGCTTAGTTGCTGGCTGGGGTTAAACCACGGCACATCTCAAGTATCTATAATGTGGCACTGAACAATCTGGACGTCACCATAAGGGATTACTAAACCCTTGCACTAACTTGCAAATATCTATAAATATCAGTAATCAGTATGGCTTCTGTGTATGTAGGAAGCAGCAAGATGGTATGGGATGCATACATACATTTACACTTCAAAAAGTTACTGAGCTAGTTCTCTGGCTTCAGGTTCCCTATTTAATCATACCAATTCAGGCAGTACCTTACAGTCATAACATTGCCTTTACACTGCCTTTAAATCTAACAGCCACCCTCCATTATTAAAATCACAGTAAAAAAAAAAAAAATCCAGCATAGATCACTGTAATCCATTTGAAACCATTTTGTACAGACAGGAATGACTTACAGCTTCTTCTGGACTGTCAGAATAATGGTATTATAAATTTATATGTTTGTAATACATATCAAAGGATCTTTAAACCCAGAAATTGTCTTAAAACATAAATGCCAACAAAAAAGACTAGTCCAACAAAAGACAGCTGATTCAGTAACAAGATAAGATAGGAATAAGAAAGAAAAAGCATTTCTATATTAAAAAAATATTATTCGTTAGCTACTTATACTTTTTTGAGATTTCTGTTCAAATATGAATTGAAACTAATGCAGTTTAACTTCAAAAATCCAACTGGATCTCAGCAAATTATTCTTTCTGGTTATCATTTGGACAACAGATTTCCTAATAAATTACTTCCTTTTCCAGATCCCTAGTTTTTCAAACCAGAAGTAACATTCTGTGTCTCTTCAGGTGATCCTCACCATCACAACAGAAAAACATTGCCTTAAAACAATCAGAGAACTGGTCTACCAATAAAGTCTAGGTAAACAAATGTACTTTGGGTTGGTTTTTTTTTTTGCATATTAAAAAGCCTGAAGTGCTTTTATGAGAGGAAACCTCTTCACATTACTTCAAGTAATTTCTTAATGCAGGAAAAAATTATTAGAAAAAAACTCTGAAGAGTCTACTACAACTATGCAATTAACAACAGTAACACAGAAACAAGTTTTTAAGGCAACTGATGCAGCTTGAAGAGGAATCTGATGCAGATTTGGGAACTGTATTCTGGGATGAAAACTTCTGGGTTTATCTTTGTTATCAGATGGCCTTAATTCACAACTTCACAGAACAATTTATTAGTTCTTCAAAATTTTTGCAGTAAACATATAGACTCTCTATGTTAATTCTAGTTTATTCTACTCTCATCAAATAATGCTTTACTCTGAGTTTGTAACACAAAGCATAACCTGGCCACTAATTATAAGCTAGTTTTCCAGCTAAACCTGACTATTGGAGTGATGTAGACTACTGCACCACGAATAATTAGCAAATTCACACATTAAGTTTTAAAGGCTATTTCAGCACAAAAGGTAATTCCACAAAATGAATTTATTTTGTCAAAATAAAACACAGCTTGATTTCCGCCCTCCCCCCCCCCAATGTTCTGGCATCCTAAAATAAACCATAATTTCAACGTTTGCCAAACAGACCATTTTTCAGAAATGGGATTTCAGAATGGCATTCTAGTTTAGAATGTGAAACAAGATGAAACAGCCAGCTCTTTCGTGGTATTTGAGCTATTGAATCTCTACAGAGGCTTTGATATGGAAGTAAGCATAATGCAGAGTGTATGGAAATCTATTTTTAAATTACCATCTATCACTCATTAATTATTCAGGCATAAATATTCACTACAGATGACATTGGTTCAGCTGGAATAGGGTCACAAATGGCCCACTTCACTGCTCACAATTTGAAGACTGATGAATAATGGGCATAGAGAAAGCTCACAAGTGTTCTTTCTACCACCAGCCCATCAGGCATCTACAGAGAAACACTAGTACTTGTTTAGCAGAAGGGGTGTAGGACAAGGGGTTACAGAGGCAAGATGCACCTAAGTACAATAGGTGCTCTTGAGTTACTCAAACTGTGCAAGTATAACAAAGCTGCACATCTCTCTTGTGTGAGATAAATTAATTTGGCATTATATGATTAAAAGTTCCTTCAGTCTTGGTATTTGCACTTTGATCCAAGAGCCACCATTCAGAAAAAGACTGTTTAAACAATTAATTTTACTTTGCATTTAAAAAAATATTCTAAATGTCTATAGAGTACATAAGACATTTATTGCACCTACATTGAACGTATTACGAATTGAGCATAGGATGGCTTTTCAAAACAATTAACCTCTGTTACTCATATTGAGAATTAAATAATTAATGAGTTTCCAGCAGATCTGCTTACAGAATTCTACTTTATATAGATGAACAGCATTTTTAGACTGTTTATCATCATGAAAGGCAATTTTAAAAGGAAGCATTGCAATCAACTATGGCTGGGTATAGCGCATTTCCTGTCACACGCACCCTGTTGCTCATCAAGTGACATGGATCCAAGCTGTTTGTTAACCACAGAAGAAGGAGAATCTGAAACAAAAATGAGATTTCAACTTAAAACATAAGCAGCAGAGAACTGCACAGCAATGTCACGATCATATGTTAGTTTAAAATAAAAAATAAAAAGCAGCAACATAAGGAAGCTTTGGGTTTGTTTTATGAGCAGCCAGCCATATTGCATTTTCTAGGCATGACAGAAGCAAAGCCACTTGTTTCAAATCATTATGTATTTCTTTAGGTAGTCATTGAACAGCCTGAAGCTTGCCGACATGTTGATATTAAAAACTCCTGTCCATTACCTAAGATTTTACTACATTCTTCAAATTTCTAACACGTCACAAAACCACTGAAGAGTCATGATTCCTAAACCTAAAGCCTTTGCTCCAACTACCAAATAACACTAGTATTTCAAACCACGTGCTAAACGGAAATTTCAGAATATTTATACTTCAACATAAAACAGTCAATGGCATACCAGTATCTTCAACATTTATACCTATGAGCATAAAATGTAAAAGATGAGACCATTTACAGATATAACAGCATATAGACTATTTTTAAAACATTAAAGCACCACCAAAATACATTCCACTCATATAACAGTTCAATAGTTCTTCATTCCTAGATGCCATACCTCTGTGGCATCTGATGACTGAGAACATGTCTTCATGAGTTTATCACAGTACCACACTAGTAAGTCTTATAAAAATCCTCATCTAATCACAGGAAAAAAAAAAAAAAAAGATAATAAAAAAACCCAAACAAGAACACCCAGCAGTTAAGTGCTTTTTTTTTTCCTCTGGACACTACCAGTTAATAACTATCACCAGCGCTGCATTCATTGTGCAGACAAATGACATGCAACATTCAGTATCTTCTGTGAGTCTGCTTTCCTTGTCACCTCTGAAGACCAGATCTTACTTCTGTATTATCTTAAGATGAGCTGATGTATATAAATTAGTGCAGCATTTCAAAGATACTGGGTAGGCTACCATATCTTGGTTCCATTTGCTAATCTTCTGTTATAAACAAATTCATGCTAAGCTAAAAGGATTTAATACCCTGTATTATAAACAGTCATAGTCTGCCAACATCACAGCATGCTTAAGGAATTTTAACATAAATTTAAATCATATACAAGGAAAGCAATGAAATAATACGCTCTCTCCTACAGGAAGTTCACTTCCAGGTTTGGGCTAGAATCATGAGCATAACCTATTTTGTAGTATAGCCATAAAACCTGCTAAATTGACAAAGCTCATTTAAATATATATCCTCAAATAATACTTCATTCCCAGTCATTGGTGCAAGAATCACAGTCTGTTCCTCCGTTACACTGATACATAAGGTAGAGGAGGGGAGGAGGAGTCAAGAACAGAGCCCAGGAGAGTCTGAGGCAAGCTCAGTGTGTTTTGGAGGCTGGCTTGTTTTGGTAACTGGGCATATATATTTTATTTCCATAACTGGGGAACATAAAATTGGTCTTGTTTTGTCTTCACCTTTGTTCAGCCATGTCCATGCCTTGCACCAAACACACCTAAGCCAGATCACCAAATTTGTCATCTAGATTTAGATGAGAAGTAGCTCTTAAGTATGAGACTTGTAACATTAATATATTTCACTTTCCAAAACTAAAGTGTGCTTTACATACAATTTCTAATTTAGAAGAGAAGTATTTACAGCAGAGTTTTTTCAATGGTGGAGTAATCCACTTCTTAGAATGTAAATCAGAGCAAAAAGCTGGTGTAAAGATGCACCATGTCATAAGATGATCGACTTGCATTGCAGTTGACTCAGCACAGGACTCAGTATGCCTCTCACAAGGGCAGGCTGGCTTTGATCACTGACTCACAGTTATGAAGCCTGTGATCGGGATTAACTTGTATCAAAAGTGCTAAAGAGAGGGGAAGTCTTGGACAGCACGCTGAGAAGTCTAATGACAGAAGACAGTGATTCTCAGTCACGCTCTCTTCTTGCACTCCAATTCTTTCTATAAGCTTATATGTCCTTCTTTAAAAGGCATATCATGCTGCCAAACATTTTACTTGGCTAGAAAAGCTAATCTCATCAGCTCTTTAATTCAGACCAAGATAAACAGGAGAAATATGACTGAACTAACATATTTTAATTATAAACAAGAAATTACATTTACCACCCTTATCAGCACTTCTGAATTTTATTAAGACCTCAGGTTATACAACAGTAAGTAAATAGTAGGTATGTTTTACAATGTCCATCATTCAATCACAGTAAGCGAAAATGAAAATTTCCTAGGTAGTAGTCCATGCCAGTGTAGGCTTAAATCTCCCACATTTCATTATTATTTTGATGTTTTCTTACAACTTTGCGAATGCATTTCACTTGTGATATGAGAATTTTTAAACAACACAAAGGAAGCAGCCTAAATATTCCAATTAATACGGTTAACAAAAGAGTTCAGTTTGTACCAGTTTCAAACTCACTCCCCCCCCCCCCCCCCCCCCCCCGCCCTTTTTCAAGTCCCCTGAAGCCACAGATCACCAGCACCCCTTGAAGTGGCACTGCAGTCTGGAACGCCACACCTCAGGCAGGGAAATAAACATGACCATGAAACCAGCCTAGAGAAGTTCAGGTAAATGCCTCTTTTTTTAATATATGGCTTTGTTTTGTAAAAATTCTGAAAAAGTACTTTCATCATTTCTGATAAAGCTTTTGAAAAAAGTATTACCAAAACTGTGCCATATAGTTAAAAAAACAAACAAAAATCCAAACTCTTACCTGAGCCTTCACAGGCTGAGTCTACATCCCAATGCAGTTCACCACTGGTTGTAATGTCACTAGTACATTCTAAACTGGAACACCACTTAAAGAGGGAGCTGGAGATTCATAAATTTTGGGAACCTCAAACAGAAAATAGAAGATAATTTTAAAGTCAGTTATATGCTGAAGGATCTTCCTATAGTTTGGGCAATCAGCACCTGGCTTCATCAAAATATTAGCATGCCGCCTCTACTGTTTTGGTTAAAAAAATTTCTTCCTTATATCACTATAACACCAGCTCCAGTGTGAGTGTCAGGCCTGAAGCAGTGAGACCTGTTTTTAAAGTCCTAAACATGGTACATATAGTGGACCTCAATTTAAGAAACTAAATACTTGTTTTAATAACTAGGAATAATTGCTTTGCACAGTGAGTAAGCTTCAGATAGACACATTTCTATATCGGGGTGTTTACAAAGAAACTAGTAATAAAAACTGCAGTCAGCCCCTTGTTCTTCGCAGGAAGCTTTAACACAGAAATGAAGGTCTGTTTTAAAGACACTGACCATATAGACTTTTGAAACAACCAAAGTTGAAAAAAAAAAAAAAGGAATCAAGTCACTGTGCATCACAGGTTCTGCAATATGTCAGCATGCACATGTATATATCTTTATTCCACAATAAATACAGTCTAAATCAAATTAATTTTTCCTCAGAAAAGAAAGGTTCACATTACTTCATATTTTTGTGGGTAAGATCATGCACACTGAGACCGCTACAGGAACCCGTGATGCACACTGATCTGTAATACTCATTTATTTTTTCTTTTTCACTTCAAGATCAGCTGGTTCACTTTTCTGTAACTTTTCAAATTGCATTCAATTAATTTAAAGTTCTCAAAAAGAGGGGTAATGTAGGTAATGGTGATGCATACAGCATATCAGCACTGGGCAGAGCAGCAATAACAATAGGTTAAAAAGTTTACTTTCTTTGTAGTTTGCATATAGCACATATATGCTGTTGTTTAAATACTGCATAGGATCTGAATGTTATGAAATGCCACAAAAATGTAAGTCAAAACTAGGCTTTGTTGCAGAAAGTATATAATAAAAACACACCAACTTACCATAGTTCCCTAATTAAAGTTAAAAAACCTGAATCTGTTCAACACCCAAGCAAAGGCTTGAAGACAAGATAGACCTGATACACACAGCATACACTGCTTCTAAAACTCTAAATTTACACAATACTTATGAGAGGTATCCACCGAAACAAAGTCTCTTTGCCACCTGAGAATGAAGTATCTTTTTCCTCAATGTCACATCTGCCCAGTGTGAATCATTACTTAGTTAACTCACTTTCGCATTCAACAACATAAACTTTTGACCATATTTTTGTAAATAGTGAAGGTTAACTATTACAGATACAGCTTACAAATCCTCATGTAACTATTACAAGTCCTTAGACTAGGAGACAGAATAACTACCATACAGTCTAATTTTCTATTAAACCTGTAAAAGCTTTCAGCTCTTAACATTTTCTACTGGTAATTTCTTACATGGCTGGAGTATTTTTCTCCAGCCTGTGTCTACAACTATAATTGAGCTGTGATTGCAAAGATAATGATTAAGAATGAAATCCCGGTCAGAAGAAATGGCCTTAGTCTCACACCGAATTCCCCCCAAAATTGCAAGTGTAAATTATACAAGTTTTGCCAGAGCAGGGATTGAGAACTTGCAGCCCTGGGTCAGAGGCTATGATGCCATTTCACATAGTGGCAGACACATTTTGGGGTGTAATTTTTTGTTTGAAAATTTACAACTAGTATGTGCCTGAAAACTAAACATCTGCCTCAAGACAGAGCATCAAAGACAATCCTGCAGGAAAAAAAAGAGAGAGATTGTCTCTGCATGGAAATTTGTTATTAAAGAAACCCAAAACAAACCTAAGAACTTCTTTTTCTCCTGCCACATTTCTGAAATGTCAGCTTACCACAGGGTTGGAAAACAACTGTCTCTATGGAGAAGCAAGAGACCAAAAATCTGCACCTCTGGTTTTCCTAAGGAATAGATTGCAGATACACATCTTACAAAACTAAGTCTTGGGAGGTCAGAAAAAGAGAATAAAAGAAAGTAACTTGCAGAAAAAGAAATTAAAAAATACAGAGAATATTTCCATGTCCAGAGTGCAGAAATCTTAAAAAGTAAATAGACAATACAGGGGTGATCTGGATTCCACAATAAAAAAGTTTCATTTGTTTCCTCCCAATATAACAGAAGGAGGAATACAATGAAAGAAGCTGATGAAGCACAGCAGGAATTGCTTGTATTTACACATACAAGTAGAAAGGAAAAGGTAATGTAATCTTTTATCAAATTTCTTGAGGAATAATTGACCAAACACATTAAATATTTAAATTTGAATTCATCATTTTAAATCTTCTACTGTCTATAATGCTGAAGGTAACAAATTCCACCAATCAGACCAAACAGCAAAAAGATATACATCCTAAAGAGTTGGAGGTTAGTTAGCAAAACTGTTACCCCTTCTGCTCCCCAGAAATAAATGTTTCCATAGTGCTAAATGAATCTATCTTTCAAAGCAGTTACTTAAGTAAAACGGTTAAATTTGCAAATTCACTGTCATCACATGAAGAATGAGGTGAATATTTGAATACTATTTTCCTCCAAGGCTATGTATGTATTCTGTGGTTCCATAGTGATCTCAAACAAAACTATCTGATCTTCCCATTAGTTCCATTAAAATTCAAAGCATGTGGGAAGTCAAAACTCCAAGAGGCAATGATGGGGGATCCAAACTAACTACAATACATCTCTGACTCCCAGTCAAAGCAATTACTCAGCTTAAAGCTAAAAATTTGTGTCACTGTGGATCCTACAGTGTGTTGACCACAAACAACTGGGAGTAAAGAGTTACACTGTATCCTTAAAGGAGCACTAAGAAAGAGATGGGTGAGACAGTGTCAAGCAAAACCCCGACCAACATATGCTTCAGAGGTAGTAAAATATCCACAGATATACCTCAAGGCGAAAATTCTACAGATATGGTTGTAATGAAACTTTTTTCAACTTCAATTCAAAGGGAAACAATTTAATTAAAAAAATTATTTTTAAGTCATTCCAAAAAGAAAATGGAAGATCAAGATCTATAGACTGTGTTAGCTATGGTTTTGCCTCTATCAATACATATCTTTGAGTTAATAAATTCTGATGTTCAGTTTGTGGAAAAAAAATTGGTAGCTTTTTGGCAGGTTTTTTTTTTTTTTTTTCCCCCTGGCAGGAAACTGCAGCCACCTACAAGAACACTGCTACCATTGTTTTTCTTGTTCTCCTCCTACAGGTAACAGGCACCTATGGCTACCATCCCTAGGATAAGCACACAGCTCTCCAGGATTTACTAGTTTCCAAACATTCTCAAAACTCACTGTAGAATTTTCTAGTGCAGGAAGTTACTCAAAATTCAATAACTACATATTGTAACTAGATCACTAGCCACTGTTGTATCAAATTGTTCTGCAAGGCTCCAGAGAAACAGACTGAACCACAGCAAGTCAAGCTGTCAATTTATGACACAATCCTTCTAAGTAATTTAGCCACACCTCAACTGTCACAAAATTTATCTATAGAAGAAACATTGCTAGACATTACTGCTCAACACAAAATATGCTGACTTTTCACACAGCATGCAGCTCACTCATTTTTACATGGTGCCATGAAAAAGTTTGCTTCAAGTTTGTGCTTTAGGGTTTACCTCTTTATTCATATGCATGCTTCTACCCTAACTTTCTCAAGTATGACTCTTTTCATTACAAACATTTCCAAGAATTTCTTGTCATAGTTTTTAATCTCAATAAGACAAGAGGAAGAGGATGGTGAAATAAAAAGTCACTCTATTCAAAAAAAGGAGAGCATATCTAGGGACTTAGGCTTGTTACAAGTATTTTCACTATACTTACTGTAAAACCATAGCATTTAAGAGTGCCAAAATCCTGGTTTACTGAAATGTTACCCTGAATTAGAACATATGCTAAACCAAAGCCAGGTCTTAAATGTTACTCTTGGATACAATTAACACCAAAATGCAATTTCAAGTGTGTAAGTACCTCACTCTACTCGGGACACAGCAATTTCTTGCTCAACTGCTCTAACAAACATTGCACATACCTGATACCATGCACCTAGGAAACTTTCTCCATATAGTATCATTTAGCTATATAATCCAAACATGTTAGATAAATGAAAACTGTCAGTATGACTCTTTCCCTAACCATGTGATGATAAACACCACCACATGCAAGGTAAGACAAGCAGCAAATGCATTAACTGTCTTGTTCTGGAAGAGAAGCATCTCAGCAAACAACAGCAGCACAAACTATAACTACGTTAGCTGCTTAAGAAACCTTGACAAATGACAACCTGATGTCTGAGGGTCCTGTGAGGAGCCCTTAGAGGAGGACTGATCAGAGGAGGACGACTGTGGCGCTGAACCCTCAGCTAGCTCTCGCTGTCTCTGTTGTTCTGCCTTCTTAAGCCTCAGTCGCTGTAGACCCCTACGGATTATAGCTAACTCAGGTCCCATTAACTCTGACAAACAGGGAGAGGGGAAAAAAGAAAAAAAAAAAGTATGTAAAAGAAAGAAGAAGCATTGAACATACAATATACAGAACAGGGAGGAGGGGTGGGGGGACTGACCAAAGAGAGAAGTAACAGATACTAAGTGTAATTACAGTGAAAAAAAATTATGTAAATCATTTACTAACATCCAGAAATTATAAAATAAGATATTGAAATTGTTTTTCTCTTCCTAAATGCATGAATTACAGGACTTAGAAGTTCAGGATTCACATCATACAATCCACCCCCCACCCCATCTCCAACACTTAAATCATTTAGCAAAGAATTATTTAACAAAAATAGATCGATCTTGACTGATTCAAAACAAAGCAAACAACAGAAGTATTCATTTTCATGTTCCTAACACACATAACAAATGAGAATATTAATGGTGTAAAATTGTGCAACTGTGGTCTACAGGTAAATTTTCAAAATGAATGTGATAGCTTCCTGATGGGTGGAATTTAGTACACTTTTGATCAAAATAAACCTGTGAAAAAAGTAAACTGGAACTATGAAAATAGGTGGCAGAACAGCATCTAACCAAAAAATACACTTCACCATGAACTCATTTTTTATCTCAGACATTCCCAGTGGGTGAGGATTCAAAGTCTGAAAACACTGTTAAGTGGTCCTACAGAGAAAGTAATTTATTGGACCATAAACAATTCCTAGTATCATTCTCTTAACAGGCTCTTCTTTCAGTTCTGTCTTTAGAGAACTGAAGAGAACTTTATTGTTTTCATCACTCTGTCTTTATTCATTTGTCAGTTATATCGTTTTGGCACATACCAGTCCACTGTCTGATTGACGTATTTTTTTGCAAACTACTATAAAACTAGGCATCCAAGTAATTTTTTATTCTTTCCATGCTCTTTGCAGATTTCCTCCACTTACACAAGTGCTGTATAGCAAGTGCTTCTCCTCATACAACACAGACTGTGTCTTTATTAGCAATAGCTGAAGCACAACATTGACCTGAACCACTGTTGAACTACTCTCATCTATAATATAGTAGGGTAGAGAAGCTAATTCAGACTCAAATATTCACATCAAATGCTCTAGCTAGTTCTTCTGTAAACTGCTAGTCTAGACCTATCCTGAAAGTATTTATATCAAGGGCACTCTGTAGTATTTTGTAGATGTAAGGAAATCTGCAAAGAAAAAAAATAATCAGTACTATGAAATGTTAAAATACTAGAGAGCATTACATTGGCATATAACCTTTCATGCAAGCAAAAGCTTTACAAATATTCTGTAACTCTTATTCACTCAGTGAAGCAAGCAAATTTTAAATTTTCTTTCATAAAAAGAAACAAACCCAAAGACATAATCCAATCATTCAAAAATTAGTGGCAGGCACCAGTTAATATCAAATAGTCATGAGCTCTAATGTCCTCAGTCTAATACCACTTCTGAGAAATACATCCTGCCAGTTTATGGTTGATGAGGTATAAGAAAAAAGATATACTTCCTAAAAGGAATATAGCATCAAAGAGATCTGCTACAAATGGTTTTCATGTGCCATGAACATTTATGGAAAAACAGTCTAGAAAATGCTTTTAAGGAAATTTCAATGATGCCTAAAATGGCAGTTTTCAGTACTTGCTGCTGATTCAGTTCTACTCAGTCCAGAGATAGTTACAATTTAAGATGTAACAAGAACTTCAATTCAAAATGTAGAGGCAACTACTATCCTGAATACGTTTAATGACAACACCTTTTAACACATTTCAAAAATCTCTAAGCAAATGTTTATTTTGCCAGCAAATGGAGTGAGGAAAAAGAAATGGAAAGAAAAAACAGCTATTGCCACTTTCCCATTCAAAATTTAAAAGCAAAGTTACCTTATATCAGAACACACATTAAGATTAAGCTTTGTCCTAATTACTCAATTGCCTCCTACCCCCCGCCCCTACCCCCAGTACCAAAGTGTATCTGGAATATTATTTATGGGGAAAAAAGCATTATTGTATATTACAGTTTGTTGTATTTTATGTTCATTTGTGGCTTAAAACTACAGCATCTTAAAACTCATGTAAAAAATGAATGAAAGCTTTCCACTGAATGGGCCAAGTAAAGCAAGAAAATATTTTTTTTTTTTTCTCAGTGACAAGCATGAAAATCTCCAGCAATTGTTCTGTCTCATAAAAAAATTATTCAAACATACTGACAAGAACAGGCTACTGAGATTTTGTGCTGATCATCTTGATTATTTGCAACCTACTCAAACGTTCCAACTGTATTCTTCCAGAATATACATTCTGATAGAGAGACTTATCCCAACAAGCTCCAGCGCTGAACCATTTTTGTACTGACTCTATTTTGAACATGTACTTTTTTAAAACATTAAGCAATGAAGTCAGTCACGTGTAGAAGCTCAAATGCTCACCAAGTGGCATATTTTCTGGAACACCATACCAACAATATATTTGAATCATAATACATATGCAAAGGTATTGCTATTTCAAAGACAGGATTACCACTGGCACCTGTGTTGAATACAGAAATCTGCAGAAATTATTTATGGAAAGCTGTTTATAAGCCTGTTCCAGTCTGTAGTGTGAATTCATGCTCCAATTCTAAACAAGTAATTACCCAAAAACATATTTTTCATTTGCTAACTCTTTGCTACAATATTCAAACTTGTATCTGCCACCCCTTTAAGCAAAATGATGGCTGAAAGCCTCTCACTTCCCTTCTTCCATTTTCCAAAATGGTTCCCCAGTCATCCATCTTTTACAACACACCTCTATCTGGTCTTCCTACTCAAACCCACTGTATTTAAGCTATTTCTATTATCACTTTCCCTATCCTGTCACCCCAAAAAGCAGCAGGTTTTATTCACCTCTAAACACAGCTAAACAAACTCAGGGAATCCTGTTCTTAATGCAGAGCGCAGCCTTTTCACATTTATAGACTAGAGGCTGAGAGTAAATAAAATCTCATAGCTGAGCACCCTTATGGGTTCTGTAAGTATACAAACATTGCAAAATGGAAATTCACATTCAAGCCTACCCATTCATAAACCCACTGCTACTGCTCTGCCATGACCTGCTCCTTCTGCCCAGGGTCTTCCCCTTTCCCTGAACTTGCCCATGTTACCCAAAGATTTGTTTTACGGTAACTTAACTGTTTTAAAAGCAGTGCAAACCAGACAAGACGCTTACTAGGTATGCAAACATATAGTACTATTGAGTTTACTCCTGCAGGTGTCCTGTAGACAATTTAAAGATGGCAGCTGGTCCTACAATTAAAATCTGCATACAGCAATAAAGAATACCAGATAAAGTTTTGCTTGTTTGTTTCTGTGGATTCAGAATATGGGGGTGGGGGGACAGTGATTTTTTTTTTTTTTTTTTTTGAGAATTAGCAGCCAGTCTGACACCCTGTTTAGATGTAGTCAAAGAAGTTATCAAACATTATACAGTAAATCAGAAAGTATCTACTGTCTGTCAACAAAACAACCACCACTACCCCTTTCAAAACTGAATATATGGAGTCTTAAGTCCAAAGTAACACTGGGAAAGAGGAAATGCTCCTAGAGAAGAGCTGGATGAAGAAATAACAACTTCAGCTTCATGCTAGCAGAATAAACTTTTACTTAGAAATTCAGAAAGATTCAGAGAAAAAGAAGAAAACACTTTCTCTAGTCAGCATACATTCTTTAAAATGAAGGACAGAAAATGCATAATAATTCCAGAAATGTTCTCTAGCACATTATCATTATGCAGCCTACAAGTTTTCAGTGATGTAGCTTGAAGCATTTATTTTTAATATCTGACATACTCTCCTGGCCACTGAAAGCTCCAGAATATACCATATACTTTGAAAAATAAATAGATCAAAATGAACCCTTGGTAATGGTATGTGTGTTCTTTGGTGGCTATCCCTCTGTACCAAAGATAGTGGCAGTTAAATTGGGTTACACTGAATTAGAGTAAACCCCTTAATTTGTTGTGTGTGTATTGAGAAAAACTTGAGATTGCAGCAAGCTGACATCAATACTAAAAAAAAAAAAAAAAAAAAAAAAAAAAAAAAAAAAAAGAGAGAGAGAGAGAGAGAAAAGGTGACTAAAGCCTCTGCTACTAAATAGATTTTCTAGCTTATTCTAGGAATAGTATCTGGACTGTGTGTATTGTCATGTTTCTGCTCACTGTTTATTTCCTCTAAATAAGTATCAGACTAGTTGCAAGGCTTGAAAGGATGAGAATGATACATTTAATGAATTTCAAAATGATTTCTCACCTGTCCCAAAGATTTTGTCTGCAGCAGCCACAGTACACTGAATGGCACACTTTTCCCTGGGAAATCCCTATCTCTTCTTCATACCCAATCCCCATCTCTCCAGAACATCCAATTTAGGGCCTGAAGATGCTATCAGTCATCTTTTCCAATGACAGAGACCTTGATTTTTTACAACAGAATTGGTACAAGACAGAAGTTGTATTTATACAAAAACCACAGGATTTTAAAATAATCAAGTCTGAACCTGTAGGTGTTTCAGATCACATCAGCCTTTCCACCACAACTATGAGGCCTAGAAACTCACTTTAAAAAAGTAAAAATAAACTCTTGTGCAAATACTTAACCCTAAGGGCTGTGGTATCTTTTCCTGCACAGAGATGGAAAAATGCAAGTCAACGCATAAGGTGCTCTTTTACTAACCAAATAAGTTTCTGACATTGACAGTGGAATATACTTTCTTCTTTTTCCCCACAATAAGAATGTAAGTCTATATTAAATACAGATGAGGTTTTTTTAAGTTTATATATCTTGAAGATCAGTATGTAGTATAATTTACTAACCAATAATGAAGTATCACGTGAGGTAAGCCCTGTCTATGTGGACAGTTTTGAGAAGCAAAAAAAACATAACATTGCTGACTCTGAAATGTTGAGGATGTAGATTCCTGCTGAAGGAGACATTTTCTACTTCCTCTGATTATAACAGGAATAGGTTCTGCTATTCATTGCACTGATGCTGCTACAGCCAAATCACAGCTGAAGAAGGCATGGTGTTATTTATACTCCATGAAGAGAATAATAAGTTTAGAAAAAACAAGCAATAATTTTTTACTTCTACTTCAAAAGACAATACTGGTTATTCCCTTTGAGATTCTTTCTTCAGACAGACTTAGACAGTTGATGGTTTTACTCTTTGTTTAAACCACAGCTGCAGTCAGTTGATAACTATAAAATACCTAGTCTCATTAAGGATGTGCAAGAAGGAAAACAGATTGCGATCAATTACTCAAAATATCCTAAAATAAAACTGTTTCTCAATGAAAGCATTTTTCATAAACAATGACAAGATGGATTTCTTCTCACCAGACTGATGGAGTACAGGTTGAGCTGAGGCCCCTAAAGAAGGCCTTTGTTCATTATCAGGAGAGGACAATAACGAAGTTGAAGGGGGACTTTCTGTTGAAGATGATGTTGAAGGAGCTTGGGCTGACATTGTAGAAGATGATGATGATGGAAGTTGTTCAGAACCATCTACTTCCATTGCAGTTTCTGATTCTGTACTAGGTGGCACGTTACTAGTAGCAGGAGCATCTGTCCGATTAGTCCCACCTTTGATTAAATAAAAAAAGCAAGAAAAACAAGAGCCCAAAGGTAAACTTAGTCTGTCTCTAAAGATCCCTTTGCATTACCATTCATATGGCAAACAAGTGTGCTCAGTTCTTCAGAGTGCACTAAAAATTTCTTAGTTTACACCCCAAAAATGCTGATATTCAAGGCCTGTACACCCAGTATAAACGTATTTCTATTGTAATTATTATTCTTGAAAAGAAGGAAATCACCTCTGGACCGTGATCTTCCTCGTCCTCGATTGCTTTGTGCAACTTCACTAGCTTCTTCAAACCATCTTGACAGCATGTCTGACATCCTTTGCATTAGAGAGACATTAGGACTTTGCTCCCCTGTAAAACAAGTAAAGCTGAAAGTTTTATCTACAAGTTTACAAAAGCGTTCATTTCCCCCCCCATTTTTTCTTTCATAACCGCCCCCCCACCCCACCCCGCTCTGTAAGGTATATAACTAGCAATCCCCTGAACCATCTCCTTTTTTCAGCACTACAGTCTAGCAAGAATTGCCAGCTGAACATGGCACCACATAAAAACCAACAGTCCTTCCTCCTTCTCTGTTTTACAATTATGCAGAGCTTTTGTACACACGACATTGTGAAATTTATGTCATTGTTTTAAATGCCAGTTAAATAAGTTAAGAAAGCCTAGATTTTTATGTTTTTCCAGCTAATTATAAAATAACCAATTTTATCATTAAACAATGAAAGAGCAAAAAGACTAGCACAAAATTAGCACATAATGTTTTTAACATTTCCAAAAGGCTTCTGCATGACTTACAGCAAAATCTTCAACATACTTTCTTTCAACATAACTCAAAACATTTTCTTCTCATTTTATTTCTGGTTTTATTACATATGAAACAAAATTTGTTTCAAAAAAGACGACAGAAAAAATTCAATTTGTAAAGGGCTGAAATGGAATATTTGAATCTTTAACTGTTTTTTGTATTCTGTGAAATGTTTGGGGGTTTTTTGTTTGGTTTTGAGGGTTTTGTTTGTTTGGGGGCGGGTTAAGTGGTTGGGGGTTTTTGGGGGGAGTTTGGTTCTTTGTTGGTTGGTTGGGGTTTTGGGGGGTTCATTTTTGGGGGTTTGGTTTTGGTTTTGTTTGTTGGGTTTTGGTCTTGGGGTTTTTTTTGGGGGGGTGGTGTGTGGTTTTGGGGTTTTTGTTTGTTTGTTTGTTTTTACACATTGGCATCTTCCAATACAAGATCATTCCACTGGACTGGGCCATTCCACTCATACTGAAGTAAGAGCTTATGCTGGCCCCTTAACCACTTTGGAAGTATGCTGTGTTTAAGCAACTTTTGGAAAAGTTTTGTACTTGAGGAGCTTAAGAAATAGAATCCTTGTGAAGTACAATTACTTATCAAAATACATACGTGAAAAATATTTTACTACCTTGCATACAAAAGCTAACACTAAAAGATTCTGGAGTGTACTTGGGAAGAACATGCAGTGATAATACGCCTCTCAAACATCAGTGCTGCTACCTGCACAGATGTTATAAAAGCCAAAAGACTAATCAAATGACTGGAGCAACTGATTATCTTTCTGGACTGCATATAGTCTTCGCTGCTAGGATATAGCTTGAATATATCATCACTAGACCTTGCTTTTACATTATTTGCTTGAGTTTAGAAGACATTGCTGGGAATGGATAAGGGAAGAGGAACACACCAACCCACCACCCTCCCAAAACAATGCCCCAGAGTCTGACCCAAATGCCCTTGTCTATCCTCATTTCCACACTGCAGGTCTCTGACCCTCCCCTGGGATCCCTCATTCCCCTCCTGTACCCCAGGCAGAGGAGCTCTGGCCTCAGAAGCTTAGAACACAAAAAGTAGAATGCAACAGCTGAAGAAAACAGACAATAGGTGGTTAATGATGGGAAGACAGAATAATGAACAGTTAACAGAAAAATAAGTCACAGGTCACCACATGCCTAACTAATGCAACACAGCTATTCTCTCTCAGTCACTATACAGTTGTATCAAATAATGCACAGTACAGATCCTGAAGCTTTGTTTTGAGAAAATAAAAATCTAGCCAGTGTCTATACTGGAGGATTCCTTTTCTCAGGCTTTATTCTTCTCCCCAGCAGATTTAATTGGTAGGGAAATGACAGCTAGAAGGACATTGTTTTTCAGCTAAGTATCTTCAATGTAAATAAAAAGTAACTTTGTGCAAAGGCAAAGCTGCCACTAACTTTAATTGGGAAGACCTGCAACAAAGATGATAGCAAAAGTGTCCCTAATATGAGGAGGTATACAAATGCGGTCTGTGGAATGAAAGCACCAAATAAGCAGAATGTAAAACTGTTAATAATCAAATCCTGTGGTATTAGAATAAGAAGGCACATGATGAAACTAAGGGAGCAATTTAAAAGAAAGGAAAGAAAGTCTTCCTTTACACAGTGGGCACTGAACTTCTGGAATTTTTTGCCATAGGAGATATTACCAACAGGTTCAAAAAAGGATTACAGAAACTCATAGGCAATAGAACCATATGCAGATTCTAAAAGAACAGATGGGAACGTACCCTGTAAAGTTTCTAATACGGTAATTCTGAACACTGGGGGAGCAACAAAGGCAACAGACTAAGGTAAAAGGACAGGCTCATGTTCTCTCCCTAAAGAGCATCTCCTATTGCCTGTGTCGGATACAGAATCCTACTCTACATGGACCATTAGTCTGATCAGCTAGACGCTTCTATTCTAGTTTGTGGAGTCAGGAAGATGAGAAAACCAACACAGAAAGTCTGGAAAGGGAAATGGTAGGCAAAAAAGGGAGACAGATTTAAGGGAAGTAGAACAAATACTTGTACCCCCACAACCTGTCAGATATAAACAGAAACACATCATTAGATGAAGAGTAAGATGAGTGACAAAGCATCCTCTGCCCTGCTTTCACATCTCATTTTCTGACACTAAAGCATAGCTTTGGAAATGCTCTACCTACTGAAACCTCAAGTAATTGAGTAATATATTAGAAACGTGAAAATTTAAGTATAAAAATTTAGTTACTACATGTTTTATAAAAAAAGTGAAAGATACAATAGTAGAATCCTACTGCTTTGAATTCCAGTCCCCTCATGTAACCATTACAGAGCATTTCATTTGTAGCTTTGACTGCATATGACGCTTGACCACAAAAAGGGAAATACGTATTTATGTTACTACATGACCAATGACAATGAAGTAAGCTCTCCTTGATTTACATCAGCCTAACTGAAGAAACATAATTCTTCTGGTAAGAATATTTTCAGTTTAGACATTTTTAAAAATCACTGTAGAACAGCAGTTCTGTCTTAAATTCTAAGAAAACCATCTTAAGACTTGGCCGATTCTTAAAACATGGACAGTTTAATCTGAAGCACTTTGTATTTCAGGAATACTTAAGAAAAATAGGAAAATAAAACCCAAACCAAAATGAAACAAAAAAACCCCCCAACTAAAACCCAGCCAAAACAAAACACACAAGCAAAGACAACCACCACCACCCCCAGCTGCAAACACTTTACCATCTCTTTCTCGTTCACTCTCAGGCCTTGCTCTTGGTCCAGTATCCGACCAGTCTCCTCTTAGCCGCAAACGTTTAACAGGAGGTTGCCGTAACTAGAAATAAAAAAAACCAACCAAACCACAAACCCCCCCGCATTACAAAACTATTTATGTTGGACAGTACAGCATTCTAAGTCTAAATATAAACACAAATTTATGTAACTTAATAAAATGGAAATATTGCATGTCACAAAAGAATTGAATGTCAGCCATATGTTCAGATCAACTATGAATAAGTACAACACAGTATCAATAGAATACAAGAGTTTTAGCTATGCAGAAGTTCAACAGTCTAAATCAATGACTCCCAGAACTAATGCAGCTTTTATTTTATGCAATACTAACTTTGTGTTGAGGCTTTCCATACTGAACGGTAATAATTCAAGTTTTCCAGAATTCAGCCTGAATTCTGCAAAAATATTCACTTCTTCATGTTAAAAACTACACACAGCAGCTTCAGTTTAATGAAATGTGGATTTGCAATTAAGCAAAATGAAAAAACAATCAGACATTAACAAAACAAAGAAATTTTATGAAAATAAACTTTAGTTTATTTTTTTAAGCTGTGGGGTTTTTAAATTTTTATAACACAAGGTTTTTTGCAGCAGGAAGTATAAAAACAAGTACTATATAGGTAGTGTTACTTTCAGCAACTGGAAAAGAAACAGCTAGTGCTTTGAACATGCAGAAAGACAGTTCAGAGCTTGAAATTAAATCTATTGGCTAGATATTTCTGGCTTAAAAAGTAAATAGTTGTGCTGACAATTTTAAATTAAATGCAAAACCCCTGCAGTGAAAGCATATTAAAGTGTTAACTTTCAGGAGCCAGCAGATTCAGGAAGAAAGCTTTACGTTCCTTCTACTCCATACAACTTATAGCCAGGCTGAAATAAAAATAGCATTTAAGTAAAATCATCCAGCAAGAAAAGATTATAGGACATATTCCATGCCTACAAAAGAAAAGGATACATAGGATCTGTTATTAACAGGTGGTCAAAATCTTCTCTCTCTATAGTAACTGGGCAGTCAACTCTCCACCAAATTACTTCACATCAGATTAACATTAGACAGAAGAAAGGGAAAAGTGCAGAACCATTTGTTCATCACAGTTTTTCTGGGTTCCTCTTTGCTTTCTCCTGCCTTAGTGAGGTAACAGCGTAACTCAGCTGGACATTGTTCCTCAGTCCTATGAATTCCTACGAATCTACACCCTCTTCTGATCAATAATGTTTGTACTAGTAATAGCAGCCTGTGACCCAGTAAATACAGCATGATCATTGCTAATAAGAGGCCACAGGCTTAATGTGAAGCTAACACAAGCCTCACACTTGTCAGGCTTTGTCTGGACTTGGAGCTTGGAGTTGCTTGGAGCTTTTTTAGCTCATTTAGCTACAACAGCAACTGCCTAGTGACCAGGTGATTATCACCTAATTTGCTTTAGTTTTGCTTAGATTTGCATAGATGCATGGTGTACAACCTCTTGTTAACAGTTTTGATACATGCAGGAATGCCAACCAGTTAAGCTGTGCAAGAAAGAACTACTTATGACCATAGGATACTGATGCAGCATGAAGTAGTACTGGTATGGGCTGACAGCATGTGTGGACACAGGAGGATACCAGAGACACCTTCTCACTCACCGTTGGCTGTTAACTATACTACAAAGGTTGGACCCAAGCAACACTGTTTTAGGGGTAATAACAAGGACAAAGAACAACCATGCTATATTGGCAAACTAAAAGAAAACACATCATGTACATGTTTCAAAACATATAGCCTTCAAACAGACTCTTAAGAAAAAGAGGGAAGAAAACATCAACATCATGTTTCTGCCAGCACAGAGGAGGAAGAAATCTCCATTGTTATCATCACACCCATCCTTCCAGTGAAGACAGCAGTATGCTAACAACTCATTGTAAAGTCCCTTGAGGCCCCTGTCTCAGACTAAAGGTAATGACCTTGGGATACAGAGGAACTTGTGAAACGGTGAGCATGCCGGGGAAAAAAAGGAACGGCTGGTTGAGGGAGCGCAGGGGGAGGGGGAGAGACATAACTTCACTGTAGTTAAAGAGATTTGTTTTATATTGATCAGAAAATTTAGATTGGAATGGTCAATGTCATTGTAGCTGAGCTGATAACAAACAACTGCTTGTGTTTTGGTTACACTGCTGAAACTTTTAATACTTCTCAGTAGTAGCGGCTCACCTCCTCAATCTAAACATGTTGTACCCCCTCATCTCTGTCATTAAATGATAACTTTTAACAAAGAGTATTTATACTTGATTTCAAGGAATAATGCCTCCTTTTGGTGGCATGGAAAATAACACAGAACACACTTCAATTACAAGAATGACCTGCCACCCTTGCTAGTCTTATAACCCAAGGTTCATGCTTTCTCATCTTTAGGAGAGGGAAACCAGAGTGACAAAATACTGTAAATATATAAAGAAATATATTGTAAATATGCAAATTTTGTAACACAATCTACTTGTCAACATCTCAATCTATGAACAGCAACATTAATTTAAATTAAACAGAAATACAACTGATATAAGTGTGCCATAAGAAAAAAAAAAAACAACCAAAACCCATGAAAACAGGTCATCTTAATCACTTGCCTCTTCCCGTCTCTCTTCAGCAGAAGGAACTTTAAGTTCTCGTGCTGTGTCATCCTTGGGATCAAACAAGTATATGTAATCTGAGGAGTAGCTAACAAGGATCTCTTGACCATCTTCACTATAACATAGAGATGTTACTCTGCAGGATTTGTTATTGAGATGAGGAGGAACAAACCGTGCCACCATTCCAACAGTGCCTCTACCAGCATAATTCCCTATGGGGGCGGGAAGAAAGAAATGACACATTTACTATTGCAAATATTCAAAAGCTTCAATATACTCCTTATTTAACATCTAACAAAAGATGATCAGAGAAAAGCTAAGTATCCTGTAGCTTCTGCATTAAGTTGGATCTGAATAGTGACATATCAGATGTTACTAGTATTTTATATTTCTTTACAAAGGCTATGTACATTTTTTTAAAAAAAGATGAAAACACACACATATATATTCATATATCACATACCCATCACACGAAGGTGTGTGGATACTATCTGTAAAATGTAGTACCAATGCAAATTTTGAAACCTAAGAGCATTTACACAATAATAATGCAACTTTGTATCTACACACAAATTAGAAACGAATTCATTATATGAAACTTTGAAATTTAGGACATACATCTCCTGTCTTCTACGGAAAATGTTTAAAAAAAAATACTAGTTTTTCTTCTTGGAGACATAATAGTACTGTCACTTTGAAACTGCAGAACTATACAATACGTTGCACTTATCATGCTTCCCTGACAACTCACTTCCACTCCACACGCTAAAAGAATATGAAATTCTAGAATTACAAATTTGTGATAAGATAAAAGTTACTTATAAGAAAATGTAACACTGAGAAAAACAGACTGTTCCAAAACCTCATAGTTTGCCATGTAAGTGTTTACCGCATGGCATATCTGTTGTGGCTTAATGTGTGCAACAGTCTGTCCTTGACCACAGACAAGTTCAGAGTTTATTATCTCACATTACATAAGGACTGAAACAGAAAGTTTTAAATGAAAATCAATAGTTTGCTCACTAGTTATAGAATACCTCACCCCTTAAAAAAAAAAACAACACAAACCCCCCAAAACCACCTCCCCACCCCCTCCCAAACAAACAACAGAACACTATACCAATATATCCAGAAAAATTAGAGTCTTCAAGATTTTGTCTTTTCTCTCCTTTACTTTATAGGCCTGCATACCTGAATTCATCTTATTCCTATATTGTTACAAGACAAGTGCAGGTACATAGTACCTTTTAATCAACCCCCCCATAATCTGTTCCTCTGGCAGTTCTCATAGAATTTTGCTGGCCACTGTGATGAAAGGGAGAGATCTTATAAGTACATTAGCATGATGAGTGGGGTATTTTTATGTTTGAGCGATCTCTGCTGTTTCCTTTCTCCTCCATCACAATCACCAACAGGAAAATGCTGCAAGAAATGACAGATTTTGTGGCACTGATTACTTGCATGAATGTGTATGCACAGCTGCATATTAATTCGTATGTGTCTAAACACATGCTGGTCATACCTTACAAGAAAGAGATACATTACAACTATGTAACACTTTTGGTTGTCACTGGAGATTTTTTTTTATAAAATTCTTAAGTAAGCATCTGAAGCACGCCAGCTTTCACCTGAAGGATCTGTAGCTTTTCAGTGAAATTATGTTAGACATCGCAACAGCTACTGCAAAGGTAAGCCTATCACATGACATTCTAGAGTTCATAAGATCCCTTCCCATAAAAAGCAACACATTCCAGCATGGCAGAGTACAAGAAGATAAGAACTTAATTAAAATTCGGGTAGACCACTGCAGGCTGCAATCGCTAGCTTTTTGGATCTTGGAATCACATGTTTCAAGACAAAAGAAGAGACATTACAAAATGTCTTTTTCTGCATTCAGTATACAACATATTCTAAGATGGATGAAGAGATTAAGTTTACTTACTTGAAGATTTCTGTATTAGCAAATATTAGAGTGAAATGACTTTATTATTACAAAGCATAGTTCTCAGAAGAAAGCTACACTTCATTCAGTATTACACTTCAGTCATTCATCATCTATTTTGAAAAAAATAACTTGAAATTGGAACTGCAAATGGTTGGAAGAGCTTACTGTAAGGTATGGTTCCTACCTGTTGCTCTTGTACCAAGCATTCGCCGATCATATATTCTTACTGAGCTATCAGAACAACCCACAGCCAGATAGTATGGGATTGGTGGACAGATAGCAACAGAAGTGGCAGCACGCCGACAGTTTATTAAAATATCCTGGAACAAACAAAAACACAGCATTCAAATAACAGCTCTGAACATTTGAAGTATTATTCTATTTTTTACTTCAGGACACAGGTCCATTAGTCATGGAGGTTTTGAGAAAACTAGATCTGGCCCTGTGAAGATAGATTGTAAATATGTCAAACAGAAAAGCCACTGCAGAGAAGGAAAACTATCAGAGAAAGAAATACAGCACAAGATCAACTAGAAAAGAAAACAAACAAACCAAAACAAGCCACAGGAACAAACATTTAAGAACAGGTAAGCATAACAAATACAGATTTATAAACTAGCTTGCACCTTGGATTTTGCTATGCAAACATAGACACTGTTGAGTCAGAAGAGCACCAAATACGCAGAAACAGTCTAAATTAATTTAAAGGAACAGAATAGATTACATCTACGGGCAGATAATTGGATAGAGAAAAAGAAAGAAAGAAACCCCTAGAACTAGTAAATATGCACAAAGCAGAATAAAATGAATCAAGAGCAGTGATACATACTTTGGTGTCAGTTTTTCGCCAATTCAATATTAAGACTGTTTCTGAAATGCAAAACACAGTGGACACCACCAATACCTTACCTTCTAGGGAATACTACCAGTGACTAATTTGATCTAGTACAATTCATTACCAAATCTTTTCTTATGGAGGAACAAAGGATGCTCAAGAACACAGGGCTGCAGATTATTTTCCAGACTCATTTTTTGCCTCCAACTCTGCACTCTATAGTAACTAATGTAAACATAGAATCTTTTCTACCAAATCTGAAGCCTCACACCAAAGTTCATAAACTAGAAGGTGCCAATGGAGTTATTAAAATGAAATAAATTTAAAAAAAAAAAAAAAAGAAAAGAAAAAAAGACTCCCCAAACTTTTTTTGTTTCTTGGGAAACATGTTGTCATCTCCACCAACGACCCTGAAATCCATTATTTCTAAAAGCCTTACCAGAATTCATATCCTATGTTTGTATGATGTACAGCTCTACATTTAGGTCATCTTTATTAAAAGATTTCACTCTTACATCTTTACAATCTTCCTTTGTGCAACTTGTTTTGATTCGAGTATCAAACCATCTTACAGTGCCATCTTCACCACAAGAGAGGAAAGTATAGGGATCATTTGGTACTGTCATAATCTGCTCAAAAAAAAAAAAAAAAAACACCAAACAAACAGAAAAACAACAGTATTAATACTTCCAGAAATACCATTACTTTGAAAATGAAAGCATCAACATTCTGAACAGCAGTAAAGACTGAAGTAATTACTACTCAAGTCAAGCTTTCTATTGAAATAGAGGAAAACTGAAAAACTGCTGATGTTTCTTCCTTTTCAAGAAAAGGCTCGAATTACTGAAGTTAAAATAAACTGTGGAATGTCACATAAGATTAAATATTTATAGGTCAAAGCTTACAGTTATTTCTATTACCTTTTAATAAGTAACATACATTTACTGCAATCAGTTTGCAGATAAGTAATCGATTTGCTGCAATAATTCAACAGCAGCTCAGGTTTTTTTCTATCAAGTAATAGAAGACAATAACAAACAAAACCCTCAGAAGTCTGAATGACATGAATATGCTAGATGGCTTTTATTCCCCTTGGGCTATTCCTTTACATTAAAAATAGTCCCCTGAAGCAACTATGCATTAAAGGCTGTTACTAACCTACCCCCTCACAGCATTTTTTTTTTTTTTTTTAAATTTTTTTTTTTTAGGAGAGCACTGTATTGCACCATTTTTCTGACCTCAGCCCTACTCACACTAGGGAAGACTCAGATGGAGTCTCACATATATGGCTTCACTCAAGAAGGCCTCCTTAAGACAAAATAAAAAGGCAAGCAACCATAATGTTAAAGTTGAATTCCACAGGTTAATGAACGCACATGAAACATCATGTTTCTACACACTATCGCTTAAATGCAAAACAGAGAATGTTGTAGAAACTAGCAGTATTTTTCTTTTCCTACACTACTGCTACTATCAGTAACTTCATAGAAATTTATAAAGCTACAAAAATCAATAATAGGATAATACACTAATTCAACACAGAGCAAATGAGTGATTCTTTAACACTTGTGTGTGACAATTTATTCTCCACCCTGCCCAACTCTTAGTAAAAGTAACCTATGGATTACAGATAGTAACCTATCTGTAAATCTCTCTACCTAAACGGGGATTGCTAATGTAATCTCTGCAGAATTCAGCATTTCTTCTTGTAATGATCAGTATGTTAACTGAGACAATGCATGCTGTGCCAAATCTTACTGCTGACAAACAAGAAGTTTAACAGACAAACAAAGCCAAGGTTTTAATAACAATGGAACAATAAACTTCTGAGCTATGACCACTATTCTTCAATATGATAGTGTAATATATGGAAAAGAGTCTTTTTCACTACACTTTCAAATGAATGTTATTAGTGTGGTTATAAAAGCCAGCAATTGTTCTTCAATACACTAAATCCTTCCAGCATTTTTGCTGTACTTTGAAGCAGAGCTTGCATTGAAAACATTTACTTTGTTCCAAGAATGTTGCTGAACGTGGTATAACACAGCAAGCTCTTATTTCTAGTAGCTGTATTTTGGTTTTGTTCACACTGATACTATTTCACAACATATGTGTAATAGTGCAATACATACCTCCACTCGCATATGCCAATTTTTATGCGTGGTGTTTAAAAACATACTAAGTAACTTTATAAGCACTAAAACAGAGAAATTGAGAAGTGCAGGCTCCAGTAATTAAGAGGCATTGTTACTATATTTAAGTTCAACAAGTACACATTTTATATATATAAAATCCTTTTTTACTAATTAAAAAAATCCTTTTCTATTTAACTTCAAAAATATATAGCTATATGCTCACTTTAGTGTATTGAAAATATGAAGGTAAGAGTTGTCCATAAAAGTACATTCTCTTTCTGAAATGCAATTAACATGAATGGCAATAGAGAAAAGCATTTGGCTGAGTAAAAATAAACTTGTAATGGCCTTATATAAACAACAAGTTCTCCAGAAACTTGTTTCAAGAACTTCTCTCTCCCTCTCCACTTATTCTATTCACCCCCAGAATTAAAAACAATTGTCCAATAGATTATTACGAACTGTGAGACTACACAAATTTCCACATTCCTCTGTTTCAATGGATGTTTCCGTAACGTCTTGAACTGTCACAAACTCCAAGTTTAAAGCGCAGTATAAATTCAAGCCACATTCAAATTTAGAATTAGTACCTCAGGGGCAGATGATGTTAGCTTTTGTTATTCAGAGAATCCAATGAGTCAAAGTTCTATATTTATTACGATGATGTGGTTACATACAGCTGGGCAGTAACGTCATGATATTTTGAAATGATTTTCCCACTCCAGAAACCTCTCAGTGACAGAAGTTGCGTTATTTCAGAAGCTGAAGCTGTATCTCAGCCATTTGCTTAAAAAACCCTGCTATTTACTCTATTATACTTTCATATGCCAAGGCTTAAAAAAAGGTCTATGCCACATAATAATACTACTACATGCATTTAATGTTCAAATATCAGGTTTGAGACACAGTAACAGAATTTAGTCTTTATAAAAGATACCTCCCTTGTTAACATTATTTGCTGAATAAAAATCCTCTGCAATAACACTATTTTGACTGTGCAATACAGCAGTCAAATGTCCATACTCTCTTCAACTAATGTTTTTGAAGCAATCTACTATATTCTGTACAACCAGTTACTGTTCAGTTATAGTCATTCTATATGGACAACAATAAAACTTGCATCTTGATTTGCTAGACTGTTGGGCTCTCTTTATTGTCTGTTTTGACAAGCTTAATTTGTTGTACCTATCAAATTTATATTTCTCATCTGGTTTAGTAACTTGCAATGTGCACACCATCATTACTGATGGCAAACAACAACTTGCAAAGAGACAACTGGCATCTCATATTACAGGTTAGATGTGTTTGTTCTAGACTCCGTTACTACTCCTGACCCACAAGCACAACTGGTAACTGCTTTCATTGAATTTTCCCAGTTTAATCATTGTTTTGCAGCACCACCTGGTGTCAGTCACTTCGTGTAATCAACCACACTGTTGGTCAACCCAAGCTCAGGCAGATCAAAGCTTAAGACCGCCACAGTGACTTCTCATGATAACTTTTATGCTGCCACCAACTCTTTTATTTGCATACTCTGAGCAGCCTAGTCCATGGCCCCAAACTTTATGCACCCAAACCCACTGCTCTAATGATATTTCTACCACTACCTTTGTGTCTCCTCAACACAGTATCTATCCATAACCATTCTCCTATTCTCAAGCTCAGAAATGTTTTATAATACTCACAGCTAGCTACCCATCTCAGTCTCCAGATGTTCTTATAAAAAGGCAGGTTTCACTTGAGATACAGAGAACATCCAATCAATTTGCAGAATCCACAGACTAGCATACTATATATAGTAAACTTCAGTGAGAACTGAGGCAGTTCAAGCTTCTGATTGGGGCCATAAGGACTGATGCTATTTAAAGGAAACAGTAGTTTCTCAGGCAAAACAAATCTCAAAAATGAAAGCAGACGATGCAAGCCTGGGCTACAGAACCACCTTGTGCAAAACCGAAAATAGTCTTGTGTTAAACCCAGGCAAAACCAAACCAAACCAAAACCACAAATCCCAGAAAAAGAGTGAATACCATGAGGTTCACTCGACTGACCTACAAAGTTACCCTGCAGACAGGAAGTGTTTTCAAAAAAACCTTTAATGCAACACATGTAATTATAACCATAAGGATACTTCTACTACATGATAAAAAATTAATTTTGGCAGTACTTCAGCCATTTTCTTATTTCACAGTCCCCAATTTTTTTAACAGAGATTTTAAAATATTTTGTTCACTTAACCTACAAAGAGATTTAAAAACTTGCTATGAAACCTGAGCTAAATAGTTAAAAAGCAATGGATTTGAGATTTTTTTTTTTTCCCCTGTGTGTGTACTGTGGTACTGTTAAAAAAACAATCAAGCAAAAAAATAATCAAAAGACCTGGAACACTTGTTCCTAAGAAGGAACCTAAGAAGGAAATAGAAAAAATACTGCTAATTTAAGCACAGTAAGTTTTACAAGCATCAGATTTTGTTGCCATTAAAATAAATAGATAGATCAATAAATCTGATTATCTTCCTAACTTAAGTAACACTTTGCTTCTTCACTTGCCTATTTATATGAACAAAACTTCCAAGGAAGGATTGCAAACATTGGCTCTAAATTTATACATAAAGAGTTAACTAGAATACAAAATAGAGAAATTACCTAAAACTGTAAATAGATTTTTCAGATTAAGCTATTCACACACGCTGAAATAAGCATTTCTCAGAAGGATTTAAATTGTGTAAAAGGCATTAAACTGCTGAAAGGTTGGGGGGGGGGGGGCAGAGTGGAAGGGAGAAGGTAAAAATAAAAATGCAAAACATACCCCCTGCCCCCAACCCCCAACCTACTTCAGAAAGAAATTCACGGCACAATTTAAATCAGTTTTGCTCTGCAGAGGATTCCCTCAGTGAAGGTGTATTCAGCTATTATGCTTGCAAAGAAAGTGGTCTAATAACACTACCTTTTGGAAAGTCCTCCATTTAATTGATACAACATATTTCTCTTTTAAAGCCTACTCTAAGAAAAAAAAAACAAACACCAAACTCAAGAAAGCTAGACAGAAGGTTCTTTAATTCTCACTGAAATAAAGCTTTCAGCAGCCTGGTTAAAAACTTGGGCAACAATACAAGAAAATATGTATTCCACCTATCTTAAAATTATCATATACTTTTGTGAGGTACCTCATAGGTAGTTCCATAGTGGCATGTATACTGGCATTGTCTGTTGGTCTCCGCATCTTGTTCAACATTTGTGTAAAAAATGACTCCATCTCCAGAACAAGATACAATCTGTTTGTCATTGGTGCATGGTAAGAATTTTGCACTAAAAATATTGGCCCTGTGTCCTGAGCGAATGGTTGTTAAAACCTAAGGAAGAAAGAAGGAAGGCTGTATCAGGTTAACAAAGAATAGGAAAATAACACACACCCTGGTACTATAAAACATCAGTTATGTACAGGCTGCTAGTAACCTACAGTTTAATACAACAGAACAGATAAGTTGTCTTTACACCAGATTTCTTCTAAGACCAAAGTAGGTTCACAAGAGACATTCACTTATGCACTTACACTAAGTATTCTGCAAAACGAAGGGACTGGAATGCAACTGCCACCTTTTGTTTTTAAAATGCTAGTTACACATCACATCAAGTTTATCAAAGTAAAACATTAGTCAAGGGTGATAGCGCAGCCAGCCAGCATGTCAGAGAGGAAAGATTTAGAAGATCTGGAATATCGTGGGTCAAGAAGAACAAGGCACTGTAATCCAAGCCAACTTTATAGACTTTAAAAATTGATGCTATTCTTAAAATAAACCCACTTTAGAAAGGAGAATTGAAGTTTATAAGAAAGGATGCTTTAAAAACAGTCAAAAATAAACAAACATTTAAGAACATGATTACAGGACAATAAGCTAAGACTTTACTTAAGTCTCAATGAATGTCATTCATCTACAGTACAACAGAGAAGCACATAATTTACTTCACCATCACAGATGGTTTTAAACACTTTGTGATGACTCTTCATATTTCCTAACATACTTCTTATTAGTCTATCAAAACTGAAAAAACCCTCTGTATGCTTTCCTGCGCACTAGTGAACATTCTATTCTTACCCTTTCTCCCATGTGCAGCATTTAAACCAAACTGCATTTTCACCACTACTGATAGGAAAAAGATACTTACTAAGTTGTTTACAGTATGAAAATTACTTCCAAATTTCCAACTTAATCAAAGAAAACATTATGCAAATGAAGTTGCTCTGTCAGTGATAGCTCATGCCTAATATTTCACAAGTGCTATTTCACACCTTTTAAACAATTCACACAGAAAAAGTTTAAGTGTATCTGCATATTATTAAAGATACGCAAGGCTTAGTATTTAAAAAAAAATAATTATCAAAATCAGGAGATATAATCCATACATTTAATTTCAATAAATCTGCCTCTTCATTTAGATTTGTTCAGATCTCTGCATTTTACTGAAAACATTCAAATCCCAGACATCCAAAAGAACTTAGAGACTTGGCATCAAAGGAGCAACTCAGAACAAGAACTCCATAAGGTACCCTCGTTCAGATGACAGTTAAAGATGTCATCTGTCAATCCCACCTCTGATTTTACATTATTGCTATGATGAAAGAAGTATTTTTGTCCTGGCAAGAAATCCTGTTTGATCTCCATAATAAAAAAAAATTAAAAAAAAATCTAAGCAACTAGGGTCTTCTCTACCATCTTGCGAGTTCTCCACCACTTCCTCCTTCTTGCTGAATATAAGCAGGCAGACTTTTTTCTCTTTGCTCTACTGCACTGGGTCCTTCTCTCACCAAAATACATGTGTTTCTTACTTTTCCCCCTTTTTCTCACAAGTCCCATCCTAATGTGCTTGCTTTTCATGCAGTCAATAGCTAACTTATTCTAATTTTCTGCTTCAGTTTTCCCTGCAGATCTGCAGATCTCAATTTAGATGTGGAGATCTACATTTAATGATTGCTCTCAAACTTAGAAAAACCGAGATTTTTCTTTCCCTCCTTTCTTTTCTCCTCCACTGTAAACTGAAACAGCATTCAGAAATATATACAGCTGCACATCATCAGTAAAGGAAAGAGTTTTCTCACAGGCAGAGCCAACCTCGTCTTGCGAGCCCCTCAATTTCCTGACTATGTTGCACAGTTTTGCCATAAAAAGTATTAAAGTATTACAGCATTTATTATACGCAGAAGATTTTCCATGCCCTTCTTGGCTTGCACTGTACATGCTTTTCTACTCTGGTTATCATACTGCCTTAGAGAGGGGAGAAAGAGGCATAAAAAGTTGTTGGTGCCTAGGCAGCAAAAAAGATGAGAAAACATAACTTACACAACCAAGCCTCATAGGCTTATCGTTAGCTACACAGAGTAAAAAAATACCACCACCTTACTCCATTGGAGCATTTTAATACCAACATGTAACAGGCTACAAATACTTACTGACTAAGGAAAAGGGGGAGAGGGTGAACAAAGAATTTCAGACACTCTTCAAAGTACTTGACTAGCTGCAGTAATTCAGACATCCTCATAACTTTTGCAACTGCTTAAGTAATACATTACACAGAAAATCAATTGAAGAGGCAACAAATTAAAGAATTCAAATTGCACCTCTTAAAAGCGCAGATTAAATCTTTGGGACGGGATTACTAATTCATGTAGCAATCCCAGAAGATTGCATACAAGCTCCATCCCTAACAATAAGTACTTTCCTCCAAGAAAGTAGAATTTCTGGCAGCTACTCTGTTGCCTTCTTTAAACCTGAAATCTTTAAGTTCCATATCCAAATGGAAACTCTTTACAATAAAAAGTCACCATAATGAACAAACCAGCATTTTTAAAGTTACATTGAAAACTAAAACCAGTTTAAAAAAGTGGGTTTATTTCCACTCTGACTTACTTTTTGAAAAGAAGCCTGTTGAAACAAATGCAAGTCAAATATCAGTGGGTTACTAAGCTTTTCACGATGTAGTTAATTTAGGGTTCCCATTCAAGATAGAATCATTTACAATCCAGCCTTTACAATAGTACTTCCTCTGAAGAGGTCAAACCCCCTTTAGAAGTAAAGGAAAGCAAACCTAACCAAACCCCATCCTAAAGTGAAAAGTAGCAATCCTGATTCTGGAAAAGCTGTAAACCTTCAGCCCCACTAAGCACCCTCCAAAGCCTCCCCAGCACTTTCATGTGAGCTGAACCCTTCCTCTCCCAGAAGGCAAACTAGGCTAATGATTCAAAAATCCTGTAACTACTCATAAGAATCCTGTCTTCACACTGGTATTAGCTGAGAGATGTCTCAGGATCCATTTAAAGGCTTTGAAAACTGTATGCTCAATCTGATGTAAATACATGAATTCCCATCTTTTTGTACCATACTTGCAGTGGGTAGAGCTTTAGCTCCAGCCAAACTCTCCCCACTCCCAGCAATGGGATGCTTAAACCAAATAAAAATCGAAGAAAATATCCATAAGAAGAATTCTTCTCAGGCCATCCCAAAGTATAATAAAGTGCTCATCCTTTTGATTTAGACTTGCAGTTACTATTAGAAATCACAGTAACACCTTTCTCCTCAGATGCACAAACACTATAAACATATAACCTATTCAAACTGGAGAAACATATTTAGAAAAATTTCTCCTGAGACATATTACGTAGTAACAATTAACATTTGCATCTGGCCATACATAAACTGGAGTGACTTACGTAAGACTCACGTAAATAAGAGTTAAACAAGATTAAATGCTTCCTTATTAAATTAGATATGTTACTAACACAGAAGACTATATTGATGGCTGAAGTCTACTTTTGCTATTCTAGCTAGCTCATAACAAAAAAATATGGTGATAAGGGTATCTGCCAAGATGACAGAATTACAGTAGAGTTCTGGTATCAATACCAATTTGCTCCCTTTCCCTGTATTGATTCTGTTACTCCAGCCAGAGAAAATAAGCTAACACAATTGTAACAGTCATTAAAAATCACATCTCTAGTACATTTCAGGAACAACACTGATTATTAAGTCTTCTTGCTAGTACCTGCTGTTTTATAATTGCATTTGTGTATATTGGGGAAAATAATAATAATAATAAAAAGCTATCTGCTCTGCTGTTATATAAAAAAAATAACTCAGCTGACTTAAAAATAAGAAAACAAAACATCTCCTGTATTTCTGATTTGGCTTAAGTGTGACAGTAGTACACAACAGGGAAAAACCCAAAATCATCCCACGAAAGCATAAAAAGTTAAAATTGCTGCATCTATAAAAATGTTAAAATGTTTTAATATAATAATTATATAATAAGGTAATGATATAGCAACTATCCAAAAGTGATATATTAAAACAAACTCTGCACAATAAGTAATATTGAACACCCTTTACTTGCATGAAACATTTTTATTTTGCAAGTCTCTGACAACACTCACTTTGGAATATATCCTTCATCTACTTCATAGCTGTCTTCGATACCTCTTCTCCTTCACCTGAACTCCCAGTCCAAGAGAAACCCAGGTCTAATGACACTGATCTGAACTTTGACAGACTGACACCAATAGTTGAAAGGAAAAGATGAAGTTTGGTAGCTATGGCTTATTTGGAGAAGTGAGGAAAAGGGCCTTACCTGTAGGCACAGGCAACACTCCAGATCACTATTATTTTCCCACCACAGCTCTTCAGGAAGGCAAAATATTACTGCCTCCATAACCTTCTATTCAAACTCTCTTCCACCATACCAACTACACATTTTGTTTTCCCCAACACATTTAATTTTTCAGCACCTCTTCAGGGTTTAGTTCTCAACCTGAGAAAGCGTGGGAGAGAGGACTTCACTTGAACATTGCTGCATGGAATGCCCAGCACTGAAGGACACAGTTCAGAGCATCTGTTCTATAAAACTATCATCAGCTCCTTAAAGAGGGAAGTGTGGAACACTGCTACTACATGATGGATGCTAGCTGACATTACTAGAAGCCACTCGACTGCACCGTAACCCCTGTGAGTGCAGAAGTGGAAAAGCAGAGACCTTTACAGCACTTTCCCCTTCACAAACCTGCTTCCCCTATTTCAGTACAAATTCTTCTCCATCCACATACATGCACACAGAAGGCAATGTAATTTCAAATGGTAATGAAGTATTATAATCAAGATTGACACTTCAACAACATTACACAGAAAGACAACTCAGTATATTACAAACAGTAAAAGCTAATACAATATTTTAAAACTAAAACAAAATAGAAAACAATTTATCTGACTATAAGATTTCAAAAGAATTACTGAATCCTATTGCTAATTCTGACACTAATCTGTTGTGAGACCATGTTCCTTTTGTGCCAGACCACCTACCGTAAAATGGGATAATACCTATGTCACAAGGGATTAGAATACCAAGGTTTTAAAACACTGAAGTATTTCCATTTATAAAGACTATAAAATGCCTGATATTATCTTTGTCAGATAATAATTAATCTGAAAAATATCTTAGTATCTTGAAAAATAACAACTTAAATCTTATTTGAAAATTACTAAGTATTCAGAAACAAACCTACCTTTCTGCTGTAGGGATTACTAATTACCAGATTGGTATCATCTGAACCAGATAAAATATATTCTCCTGTATCATTCCAGCAAATTGTATTCACCTGCATGAATTAACAAAAAGTAGTTTAGACTTACATTAATTCAATTTTCAGAATATTAAAACATCAATACTCATCCAACACTATGGAAATAGAAGTTAACAAATTCAATTGAAATTACATAATTTCTAAGCAGCTAGCACAAAAAAAAAAAAGTGTTTTAATACAAATTGATAAGGGAATCACCTGCTTCACCTATGGCATCTCAATTACTCCCTCTGCTCCTGAAGAGTCCATCAGGTAAATTAAGCCTTCCCACAAAGGCCTCAATAGCCACAATTTTACACATTCAGGTGCTTTAATGTACCGAATCTACTCCACAGAGTTCTCCAAATTTGAACTGGAGGGCATCACAATGCTCTCGTTATTGTATCTTCACCATATCCAAATTCTGACCATCCATTGCTTTATACTTTTCAGTGACCACACCTTCTCAGGGATCATGTGAAAAGCACCGCAGAATCCATCCCAGATCCCTTTTGAGAAGTGTGAGTATGCTGGGAAAGAAGAATCCTACAGTGAGGTACAGAATCATATCGGGAGAACTTTACAATATATTTCCTTATCAATTCTCCTTTTCACAAGCCTGTGTGTCAATGAAATAAAGCTGTAAAAGCACTCAAAATCCAGGAAGCTCAGAAAGTATCCTTAGAGTAACCTGTCTTCAAGCAGCAGCTCATGCACAAGCACCAAAGACTGCATGCATGACCATTATTATTTCAAGTAGCCTCTAAAATAGCTTTAAGTGTCAAACTGCAGCCATCAACACCTTCTGTTGGCAGAAAAACTGCCTTAGTGCAATATATCAGAGTGGACTATATAGTTAGCAAAAACCCACTTTGTTCTAAATCCTTTTCTTATGTGTTGGTTTTTTTTTATCCAAATGTCTCATTCTCAGCCCAAAAGACAAAAACCTTTTTGTTTAAAATATACCCATTTTACTTACTATTTTAATCACAAGCTTAGATTGGGTCCTTAATTAGGCAAAGTTGCAAAATCAGAATTAGCTGTTTCAGATGGATTGTGTGGGCAACAACTTGACATATTCATTGAGGAGCTTTAAATGAACTTTTGCCACTCAAAAAAAAAAAGGGGGGGGGAGATCTTCATGTTACAACAGACATGCCTATGGCAGAGTTAGCTCAGCAGCAGTCACATGACGTTAGGAATCATTAGAAAATGCACAGGAAAGCAAATGTCATTCTGTCAACGTATACATCCATGCATGGCAAATCTGCGTCTTCCACACTACACAGTTTTGGTTCATATCCCACTCCTGCATTCTCCATTTCTATTACTGCCCATTTGAAAAAAGAAATTATGAAAAAGAATGACTAGGGAGATCGTAGGTACCTAACACTTTTTATCACAAGAAGCAATTCACTTGTACTACTCTGGGGAGGGGATACGACAGAAGCTTATGAAATCATGAATGACATGGAAAAAAAAAGAAATAAATTTTCTGTGGATCTTTACAGTACAGGAAATAAGTGGCCTTCAATGAAACCATCACATGACACACATGGCATTTTATTAAAACTGTAATTCATTGTCATGGAATGTCCTAAACGCCAGAAGTAGAAGAATACACATATTCATCAAAGAAAAATGAAAAACAATGAGAAACAAAGATGCAACTTTCACCTCCATCTGTCCATTAAAGTGTGATGTGTTCTTGCAGATACCCTTCAAGCACTGTCTGCTTGTCCTGTCTCAACTTTCCTCAAAAATCAGTACTGTCCACTCTGAAGGCCAAGTTATCAGGCTTCACTGAGCATTGGTATGACCTTGCATGGCTACTCATGATTTTATAACCCTGGCTGTCAATCACCAAGAAGCGTGCATTTAACTAGCCCCCAGATCCATCTATCATTGAAGTAACCTGTCCTGACAACAACTATACTTTAAAAATATTGTCAAACACAGCACAGTACTACAGCTAGGGCAAACGCAAAACCCAAGAATGTTCATTTTCATCTACATTTCCTTTCAGGTAGAAAAATACTATCATTGCCCTAAAGAAGCCAGAATGCTACCACAAGAATACAAGAATAGAAACAAGAACAAAACACTGAAAAAAAACAAGGAAGCTGCCAAAAAAATAAAAAACATGATGTGAGAAAGAAGAGCTAGCACAAAAATTAAACAAATTGAGTGGGGTGTGTGTCTGTGTCCAAAACCAAAATCCAAAGGACAGGAAAGCAGAGAAAGTATCGAAGATGAAAAGGAAAGACATGATTATCTAATTGCAGCATCACAAGCCTACACAAGACATCAATCATTCTCCTTCTAAATTCTGATTTCATTGCACTGATTGCCTCAGGGTTCAGCAATTTCAATACAGCCTACCGAGGCCAAAGTTGGTTCAGAAAAAATCCTGAAGTGAAATGACATAACCAAATGTGTGCTAGAGGTCTATAACTAAACAGGCTTTTTATTCTGTACCAGATCACCTTCTCAATGTTACTGTCAAAAAATAAGTCAAAAAATAACAAAGTCTTTCAGTGGAATAAGCTTGATTTCTTTTTTTCCAGAGAACACTGACTTCCTAGTAAGTGATCAGTCAATACACTACATTTCTTAGTGTTCAGTACAACCTATTGACCAATAGTGAATAACCCCAATAAATATGCATATGGATCACTAAAGACAGATGCTCAATAATAGCAGATTAAAAAGAGTTCTCATGTCCCATTCCATGGCAGCAAACCCACTATTAAAATACTGTAAAATGAGAACTAGCTAGAAGAGTCATTTGTATTTCAAAACTGTGTAGAGAAGCTAGGTATCTACTACCTTCACAGCCACTCAACACCCAACTAAAAGCATAATATAACAGTTACTACACTAAGGGTTTGAAATTCCTGGAAAAAGGTGTTAGAGCCAAAATAAAGGATATATCAAACACAAATGACAGACAATTACTAACAAGATAAGAAAAGTCAAAGGGTGTGTAATTAGCTTTTTTCTATTAAGTATTCCACATTACCAACTGTATCTAATTTTATTTGCCACTCAGCTAGCCTTGGAAAGAAGCAGCAGGCACTTTTGATTCATTAGTCAAGTAGTCAAAAATAAGTTTACTATCTCTGTGTTTTTCCTCAAAGACAATGGAGGAGGCAGTACAGCCAATCCTTAAAAAACTGAAGAAGCAAACTCCTCACTTCTATGCAATATAACAGTAGAATTAACTCTTTTGTGAGCAGGATAGATTAACAGAATACAAGAAATGGAAGAAAGGAAATAAAAATGACTGTAGATATCCAAAATATCAGAAAGATCTCCCAAGCAAGGAAGGGGGTGAAGAAGGCACTACTAATCACCTATGGAGGAAAAGGTAAAAACTGCACGTTCTAACAATATGCAAACAAACTTCCTGTACTAATTTAATCATAGCTTAGAGGACTACATCTGAAAATTACTTGCTCACAGGTGCCATCCTGAAGGAGATGTATGCCACACAGGATGCTTGCTTGTTACTGAACTGAATGTCTATACACAGAAATGAGAAATCATTCCTCCGGGTAATCCTCTTATTTTAAAATGTAGTATTTGCTCATGTCAAAGGCTCCATCTACCTATGCATTCTGCAGTTCTACCTTCCTCAGCTTTCACAGGACCAGAACTGGAAGAAAATAAGTGATATTTTTACTCCCATTCCATATGGTTTAGAGTTGCTTTCTCCTCTACTTTCCTCACACTTCATCACTGCTGGTCCAAATTGATTCTCTTTCAACATTTCTCCTTTGGATTTAGCCACTTCATACAGGAAGCATCTCACCTAACTCTATACATTTCCTCTTCATCTTAAGCTCCCTTTGGAGTTAACACGGAAAATGGCAGCTTCTGGCATACATATGACCTCACTGAATTGGACAATGTGAATCTTGCTGGAAGAGGCAAATCATGCCCTGGAAGTATGATAAGGTTAAAAGCAGACATCAATGATTCGGTAGACTAATTCAATTACTTCACATACTACTGGTACAAACTGTGTCTTCAAACGAAGTGGAAAACTACACTATTTCAAAGAAAATGGTACCTAAACTCTGAGATGAAAATACTCACATCTCTAACAAAAAGGTTCTATGGTAATATTACTGCTACAAGAGCATGGATACTTGAAGTAATTCATAGAATTCCCTATTCTATTCCCTTCTTCAAAGATATTGCACCCAAGTCTGATTATACATACAGATGTATTTCCCACAGGTTCTCTCTTTTGTGTAGCATAGATCAAATGGTAGATAGGAAGTTGGACTTTACTTTTATCCTCAGTTCAAAAAAAATAATTCTTGCCTTGAGTTGTCCACCGTGTCCAATTACACAGCATGCTTTATACAGAAAAATACAAGTCACAGCTTATTCCACAGAAGAATGCAAGTGTTCTTAACAACAGCAAAAAAAAAAACCACCAAAAAACCCAACCAAAACCAACCCCCCAACCCTCCAAAAAATCCCAATGACCCCCAAAAAAACCAATTCCAGAAACACCCGTAATAAGACAACTATGGCATCCGTTCCTCATATTTGAAATGCATGCTGATTCAGCAATTGGGGGGGTGGGGGGTGGAGACAGACTAGTATGATCATTTACCATTGATGGTATATGCATTTTAATCACTATGGGCATTGTAATTTCATTTACTTTTATTTCACAGGTGTGTTTTTTAAAGCAAGTAATAAGAAATTATACTGAGTGGTTGTTAGCCATAAATGATCATTCCCTGCAAAAAAACCCACACAGTAAATGAGGTAAGAACTCCTAATACCCTATTCTTTAAAGGTGGATAGTTCTGAACAAATTTAATTTCTAAAGAAATTTTTCAAATTGTAGCAGTATTTTAAACACCTGCATATAATGCTCTAAGTTCAGAATTAAAACATTTCCCACCCACTAAAACAATTAAGTTAGGCCACATGTTAAAGCATACTTTGAAAGTTAACACAATTCAAGCTTAATTTTCAAATTCCAGGTAGATCCAAGCAACATCAAACAGCCAATACCAGATTTACAATTTGTTACATGACACAGAGGTAGTTAAAAATAGACTCCATTTTTAACAAGTAGCCAAGAAATACTATTTTCCTGTCCCGTTTTATAGGCAAAAATGACTATTTTTACAAGAAAACAAAGAGAAAAATAATTTAAAAACCCCAATCAACTTCACGAAAAGAAACTTGGAAAATTTCATCTTAAGTATATTTGAGGAGATTAAAAACTACTAGAAAAGAAATTCTAAAGTAAAAATCACTGTTACAATCTTGAATACAAAAACTGATAAATAACTTTCTACACATAGAATCATAGAATGATTTGGGTTGGGAAAGACCTTACATTGTCATTCTTAAAATGCTTCTTAAAAAAACTGGGAAGTTAATGCATTTGCTTTTTTAAGTCAACACCATCTGTACTAGAACATTAAACTTACAATGGTAGTCAGTACAGCACAAGTAGCTGATTTTTTATATACAGCAATTCTAACCCTTGCCTTTCCCAGACTTTCTAGTCTCTCAAAAGTATACACAAGCCAAAATCATACTTCTGATCTCAAGCCAAAAGGCTAGATTTTATTAACACTTTTCTCTTAAATTTACTACTATGTTAGTTAACAATTATAACACTCCTTAATTTAAAGCTACAAGTGTAAGAAACTCAAGATTAAAAAAAAATCTTTATATTTGAACAGCTTTTGAAATAAACATGTTAAAGCATAAAATCTACACTTGCATTTTCACTTTTTATAGCACATCTAATATCCTTTCACTTTTCAGATATCTTGTACAACAAAGACAATGCTTCAACAATCATGCATTTCTGCTCTATTCATCACAAGTAATATGGCAGTCTCTTTGCCCTGTACCTAGTTTAATTAAAATCTTTTCTTTAAAAGTATATGACTTACAATATTTAGACCACTTGCAAAAACTAAGTATTTAAATAAGCAATATTTCAAGTTATGTTATTACCTTTCAGGGGAGGCTTATTTTTGTTTTATTGTCTCTTTAAATAAGCATGCAACACTTGATCATTTGCTTTTTAGACTTGGAGAATAAATCACTCAAAACACTAATACAGCTTTAAGTCAACAAAATATATCAACATAGCACAAAACTACTAAAGATTCCATTTAAAGCTTTAAAATTAGTTCTAACTGAAAAGATAAGCATGTGTCTTCCTGGCATAGGAAATTAATTCATTCAGCAGTGGGACACAGTATTAAGGTATAGAAATGGGATTTTGTTCTGCTCCAAAGGTAAAGTGTCAGATATTTAAGAAGAAACAAATACATAGAGAATTCAGATGTAGGTCTCAACAAGTAGAGTTTTTGAGCTCAGCTTTAATACGTGGTATTTGCATTTTTAAGTTAAGGAACTATTACCAGGGCAACAAAATCACAATTTAACATCTTTTAACAAACAAAAAAGCAACAAGTGACTTACACATCCATCATGCACATTCAAGGTTGCTTCAAGTTTTAATCTTTGGATAAATTCTCTTCTCCCTGTGAAGAAAGATACTAATTACATACTCTTTTAAAACAGTAAACAGTACTGAAGAAGTGTAGACGCTGCTAATGGGCACTCACAGGTAAAAACCTAAACAACAAAGAACCAGAATATAAATGTAAATCTTGAAACAATTCATACGGTTCTCATTTTACAAATGCTAAGACAAGCATCAAATTTCTAGCTCTTCCACCACCTTTAGTAAGAGTGCAGAAACAGCAAAATGAACTTTTCACAGGTTCACAGGCTGATGCTTCCTAAAAGTAATAGCTATAAAGCAGAAAATAACCCTGTGGTTATTTGATTAACTTAGCTGAAAGACAGCAAGTATAACATAGTTCAAGAAGTACAACCTTTTGCATAGGAATGTAAAGAAGAATGTGTTTAGGTCTCAAGCAGACAGTAAAACAGTTTTGTAATTTCAGCAAAGAACTGGAAGTTGATCTTCCAAGCATTATCTACAGCTCTACATGTCCTCTTAAACTAGAGAAAACCCAACTTCAATTTTGTTATTAATGCTGCATTTTGAAAAGTAACATTGAAGTCCAGTACCATTCTACTTGATACATACTTAAGGAATAAAACACAAAGGAAACTTCTGCAAAGGTGACATGAAAGGAAGAGATGAAGGAGAAAGACTAAATCTACAAATGCATATTGAGTAAGGCAAGGGTCCAGGAACTTTATGTCCTCATTCCCTATGTACAAGCTGTCTTATCACTGCACTTAAAAACAATACTGTACTATACACATGAAGAGGGAAAAATAAAGTATATTGAAAACAATGTGGTCTCTTCCTGAACTAGACGTTTTAACAAATAGCTCCAACTGTCATTTAGAGTGCACCCATTTTATAAAAACAGGTTATAATGAACCTATTAATTCCCAGAAAGCACTGTCAGAAGAGACAAATACTAATAAACCTAATCTTTCTACTTAAATCCTAAAAGCAGTTAACTTAAGGACCATTATCTTTTTTGTCCTGTGTTTGTACAACTCTCAGAACAAAACTCCAGCTAAGAGCATTAGACTGTAGGCGTATGTTAGGCTGCACTGTTTTCAAATATGTAACCTATCAAATTCACTCAAAATTAACCTTCCCGTCTTCCTTCGAGGAAACTACAGAGTCAGGGAAAGAACTGCAACAGAACCCTTTCCACATCTGAAAATCCTACATTTCTGAACTTTTTTTTGTTCAGCTCAAGGCAGAACCATCTCAGAGCCCAGCATTGCCTCTGGCACTGTAGCACAAATTTGGAAAAGTAATTTCTTCTCTGTCCACTTGTTTCTTCTTAATGCCTTTTATTTGTCCCATATACTGTCCAGCACTGAAAGAGAACACCCGATATCCATCCCTGGTCCCTCACAATCACAGACTGCCACAGCACAACCAACCTGACTGAGAAGCAGGCACTGAACATCCCTGCCACACTCCCTCAAAGACCAGGAAACCCTTCAAGATGTATCAACTCCCACAGGTACACCTGCGCCTCATTCAATGTTCATACAGCTTTCTCTCCATGAAAAGATATGTTTTGGTACCTAGTTTTTGCTGGAACTAGAAGTCACCTCCAAAATTCAAAATTACTCATAACACAGCTCAAGTACCACATTAGATGAAAATAATGCTTTGGCAAAATATTTTTTTCTTTTTTAAGAGGAGGTACTGGTTGGGTGAAATGGTTATAAAGTGCTTGCTTTTACAGCACACCTAAGCTAGTTTTAAAAAGATAAAAACCGTACTCTCTTATGCCCCATTTTACAGACACTGAAATTGTGACACCTCAGAAGTGCTACAAGTTCTATTAACTGGGACTAGCCATCATTAGAGAGAGATTAAAATAACAAACTTAATCTTATGTACTATGCACTACTAGCAAAAATGTATGTACTCTTGAATGGGGAATACATCTACCTAGTTCGCTATTCTTTCTTTACCACTGTTCCTTATCCATTTTTTCCCCCTAGAGGAACAGACTTTGGACTTAGGTCCTTAATGGTTGGTTTATTGTACTTTTCAGTTAAATCCTAGTATTTTTTCAAATCACTGAACAATACGTGTATTTTTCAATGAAGATTCCTATTTTCAGGTTAATTTGATTTCTACAACACTTAATTGTAAGTAAATGTGAAAACTGAGGTGGGAAATATCACCTGCTGTACGTTTATATATCACTTTGCATAACAGAAACCTACCAATTTTTTCTAGGGTGCTATTGTAATGCAAAATACAGCACAATAATACTTGACCCCCAATAGGATAACTTCACTAAGAAAGGTATACTCCATAGGCCAACACAAAAATCTAGTGTTTGCCAGTCCCATCACATTTTCTCTTGCAGAACAGAAAAGTTTGATAGCAGTGGATGATTCTTGGGCATTGCACTATATGCATATAACACATCTGGAAGTGAGGTGATGTCTGCAGACCAACACACTTGGTCTGAGAATCTTCTGTACGGAAACACTGAAGGAGATTAACTCATTTTTAAAAACAAGCAGAGCAACAGATTTTCCTCTTTCCCGCATGGTCTGGTTTTAATCCAAATCACTTAAATCAGCAAGCAAGAAACAGTAAATGTGTTCTAATCACATCTTCGGTTGCAATTTTTATTTCCTTAAAGCAGTCTGCTGACAAAATTAGATACGAACTGACTTCTTGTTAGATTATGATTTTTTGGTCTTCAGAACACAGTAGCTATACAAGTTTCAGTAAATGTTTAACTTGAGATACAGACATATGGTGTCTCATATACTTAAACTCCCCCATTTAAATATTAAAAAAAATTGTTAGGATTGCACATGCTAGCATCTGTGATTTGTTACATATGTGACTAGCTATTTATCATGTGATCACTCTTTATCTAAATATTGATTTGAGGGAGTAATTAAACACAAGCAAAACTGTAACACTTAAACAGTTTCCTTACTCCCTAAAGTAAAAAGGAAGCAAAGGAGAAAACAGTTAAAATGTTTTACCTCCAAAAACCTTCCTATTTGATAAAGTACTGAACACAATAGACAGTTGAATGGATTGTTTCTAGTTTATCTTATAATTCAAAACTAGAACCACGAGATCCTGAATTTTTTTTTTTTCTAAAAACCAGAACTACTCAAGCTGATCTGAAGGACATACTGTCTCTGCATTTGCTGCTGTTAAAAGCTGAGCAGTCGGTGCATCTGTGTTCCTTCCACTTCAGCAATGACTTCCACAAGTTCATTGGTTTGATAAAAAAGCTCAGCAGTACTAGCGCTTTCTGGTATTTAAGTCACTTGAATATTTTTATCACATTAAAAAATTAAAAACACAATACTGTTTATCTGGTTTATTAGTAGGCTACTTTTTTTTTTTTACTCTTCAAGTGCATCACAACTCTTATTACTAGACTTTCTAACAGTCAAATTCTCCACATCAATGACTCTGCACTGCCAGGTGATAAGAATCTTCACAATCCTTAATTCCCATTCATCTAATCCAATGTTCCTCCTGTTCCCTCCACCCTCCATGAAAGACTGCCCCCCTAGCTCCCCCTTCAGCTAAGATGGTGGAGGAGACTCAGGCTTTTGACAAAAAATCCCATAGAGTACTTTTTTCTTATAAAATCAGCATCAAGACCTCTGTCAAGTTTTGGTTTCCCCCACCTAATACTGTGTACATGCTCTGTAAGAGCCAGAAACTGTTTCTTTTTCCCCTTAACTCTGTGCCACCAGAAATGGAATAATTTAATTCTGTGAGTACGCTTCAACATACCATTTCTTATATCCAAATAAGGCTCGTTTAAGACAGGGATCAAATGATCAAGCTGTCATCACCAAGATTATCTCACTGGACAGCGGAACTTACATGAGGTTTGCTTTGAAATCACAAAGGGGAAACTATCAACAAGAATAAAACAAAACAAAAAAGCACTGTTAAATTTCAAATGGCATTGATGACCTTCCTGTGAAGTGTTTACATAGCTGAAATTTAGAAAACTATCAAACTAGCACTCCACCCACCCATTTTCACTAGACATTATACACTAACTGAAGCCTCAAGGTACAGTGCCACCCTCAGTACACTGATCAATAATATTTTTTTTAGTTTATATTAAGCTAGAGACTAGAGGACCATTTCCAAGGCCACATTTTACATATGGAAGAAGTGCCACCTTGAGTCATTCATAATATGAATTTAAACATGGAAAAGCAGGCAAAAGAGAAACTGCAGCCGCTTCCTTGTAACTTATTTCTTCAAAACGTTCCACTGCACACAACATCAAACCAAACAATACCTTGCCACTCCTTGTTGGAGAATTACCTAAATTTGATGTTTGGGCACATATACACAGCTCTAATCTCACTTCAGAGAGGTATAACAAAATACACAGTGTCCCTTGTATTCCCCAATCACAGCAGTTATAACACCATTTAGGTCACAATCCTCAGTTTAGAAATTGCTGGTCAGGTGCTTTCTACATAGCTATTTTGGCAGAGGTACACATACCTTTCTTTTGTAAGTGACTTAGTCAATGCTACTTCAGAAGTGATGACAGCAGTGAAGTTTAATGCTTCAAGCATGTAAAACCTTCATATATTTAAAACAGTACTCGAGAATTTCCCATTGAAAAAGTACAGATCATTTCAAGATGAAGGTCTAGCTTTAAAGTACATTTGCGCTCTACAGAAATATAACTGAACTTTGATCCAAAGCAGCACCACCAAACTCTGAGACATTAAAAGACAACCCTTATTCAGAAAACCTGTAATAGATCCTGTTTGTCAAAGGAACACTCATTTATGTCAAGCTGGCTCTTTGCAAGGCCAAGTCCCTCAGCACTAGCTTGCTGTGACATTTGGAATGCCCTAGTTTAAAACTGAAACAGAGCCAGCATCTGTTCCCAATGCAGAGCACATGTTATCTTGCACTCTAGGTACATTTAAAAACTACTCTTGATTTTCCAGGGTAGAGTTTACATATTTCTGAAGCCACTCCATGAAAAGATGGCAAGTCTACTTCATTCATATATAA